CTTACAGAGGTTATCAGTGATCACAGACAGATTGATGACTTGCATCCTTATCTCCATGACTTTGTCATCAGGATATTGATCAAATGGCTCTTCTAAGTTCTTGGAGAGTTTCTCAACATTTGCCTCAAGCTGCTGTTGCTGGTCCTCAAATAGATGCTGTTTTATTTCCCTCTCTTGCAAGTCCATCTCATCCCTGAAGAGCTCATCCCCAAACATGTAAAATGCAAATGGGTATGAATAGGAAAGGACACGCCTTGATCTAAAAAGTCTGTACAACCCATTTGTTACCCAGCTAAAATCTCTAAGCCTAGATTCCCGCTCTTCTGATATTGACACCTTCTCCAGAATTGTCTCCTTAAGTTTACTTTCTAGCTTAAAGGAATCTGTATGAGCTTTATAACGGTTATGGTAGTGCATATACCGATATAGATCCCGCTTAGCCCGTTCAGTTTTGTTCGCTTTGTCTTCTTTGTAGCGACCACAACTGTGTCCAGTAATTCTTGACCAAGTATGGTCCCGGCCAGTAGCTCCACCACACAGCCAACTGTGTCAGAAGGAATATGGAAAAACAAGCATTAAGTTACTATATCACAAAATAAAATATATGCAGCTGGAGTAAGAAAACCTTTCATACAATAAATACTAGGTAAATCACAGTCAACCATGTCAATCAATCTAAAACATCTAATCAACTCTCATCAGAAAGGAATGATGAGCGTATTCTGGAAACAGCAATACAAAAAACAGAGAAAAGAAAAGAAACTCACCAAAAAGCCTGTCCACAAATACAGCTCACAAGGTTACAGCCACCATTTTTCTCCACAGGTTTGTGACACTTTGGACAAGGCTTTGTATGAACAGTGATCCAATTAACTGTTTCAGATTCATCTCGGCACTTCTTGGCCCAAAGTCCCCACATCCAACATGAACAAGGCGAGTGTGCTTCTGATAAACAACTAAAACAAAATTGTAAACCACAAGCACATTCTACCTCACAAAATTCATCTTCCTCAACACGTATTGCATTCCCACAATGAGGAGTGCTTGGGCACCACTTAACCATTTTATTATCCTCAATATATGACTCAAGAAGAAAACGATCAAATTTCTCTGCCAGATCAGGATGCTTTTTACTGACAAGATTTCTGACAATTGCTTCATCACAAATAGCGTTGCATTTGTGCGCCATGCATCTAATTCGCCTGCTCTGACCCTCGTTTATCTTCACAATAAAATGTCCTGTCCAACCTAAAAAGGAAAAATTGATGCAGAAGATTCAATTCACATACAAAGTAAAGTGATTACACATTTAAGAACAATCAGCGTATGGTATTTCAATATTTGGCTTGATAAGCCCTTACCTGACTAAACTACCTAATACTTCCAATAGTAAAACTCTAAAATCAAGACTAGAGCTTAAAAAATTACTGGCTTACCAAAAAAAAAAAGGAACGCAAAAACTATAGATAAGCAAACATCTATAGAAAAATTAATCTTCACATGGCCTTTAGGGTCAGTAAAGCTTAAACAATATGTAAGCACATCCACAATGTGATTATATGAAACCTATACCAACAACTTACAACTTAGTAAGGAGGCTAAAATAGTATTGAAAAAAAAAGCGGTGAAGATAATGAGCAGGTTGCTTACACTCATTGCAAAAGCAATGCCCACAGTCCATTTTGGTTGCAGTGTCAGCAGAAACTTCCTCCATGCATATATCACACATTACTTCAGAAGAAAAAGACAGTGATGAACCAGTATCTTCATTAACAGTGACACCGGCATCAGAAAACAAGCTTGCTCTCCCTTTCTCCACGAGAACCGCTAACAACTTTTCAACATCCCAACGATGATGAATAAGTAAAGTACGTGCATGATGTTCCCTCAGAGATAGCAAATCCATCACTCGCCGTAAATCTTCCTTCTACAAGAATGCACCCAAAAACTAAAATATCAATATTAAGACCCAAAAGTATGAGTCGACGAAGCACAATCCATTACAATAAATAAAATATAAAAAAGAAGAAGAAGAAGAAGATAACCTGGGCAGCCAAAAGTGATTCTTTCGTTATAACCTGCGAATTCCAAAAAAAAAAGATCTTTCAGAATAATTATGAAAAGGAACCCGAAAAGAAAATTATGAACACAGTTTCACATTGAAGCTTCCTCATAAAATTCAACAAAGTCAGCTTATTTATGTGCAACATTGACAAAATTCCCAGATGATACCATACAAAAGACGAATTAGAGAAATCAAAACTAATAAACTCATATAAAAAAAAAAACCCTTTTCCCAGGACCCACAAACTTCAACAAAACCTACATCACATTAATAAAAAACAAACTTTTACCGTAAATCAACTTCTAACAACAAAAAAAAAAAAAAAGAATTACACAAAATTCTCATCCAAAAATTAAAACAAAACACACAAAAACATGACTGAAAACCTAATTTAATTGCCAAAAAAAAACCCACCTTGGTGGAGGAACCCTTGGGTGGGGCCCACTGCACGTCAGCCTCATCATTCTCGATGATGTCGGGCGAGTCAAGATCCGACTCAGAGTGATCCGAGTCATAGTAATCCTCGTCTCCACTCATAAAATCGTCCATCGATCAAAATTTCCCCAAATTAAAAAAAAAAAAAAACCAAAACAAAAATAATTCAATTTCGCTGCGAAAAAATACTCTGTATCCACAAATTGAAGAACCTAGTAGGCCGATCGGAAGAAAGAGACGGAGAGAGCAAAACTCCGACGGCTCTATCGCCGGCGACACGAGTGAAAACACTGCTGCTTACAGAGGAAGCTTGTGAGGCGAAAGAGAGAGAGAGAGAGAGAAGTGGAATGTTTGTTTTTATTTTAGTTTTTATTTTTATAATTTTTGTGACAGGTTCATTTGTGTTGGAACGATGTCGTTTTCAGGAGCAGAGAGAGAAGGGAGACGGCGTCGTATACGGATGACGTGTAGTGCTTTATTTGTGTGTGGATGGAGTGAGGAGTCCTAGTGGGATCATGACCTGTTCAAGCTTAACCAACTCATTTTGATGGATAAAGTTGGAAATAAATAATATATATATAAACCTCAATAAAATAATAGTTTTTAGATCATGAAAATTTATTAATTAATCAATATATTATTTAATAGTATAAATTAACCGATTATTAATTTATCGAGGCATTTTGTATTTTATTTTTTCAAAACATTGAGTTTAATGCATATACATATTGTGTATAGTTAATGTGGTACAAGAAATAACTGTTAAAAATAACTCACAGTTAACCGACCCTTAGGTGCCCGAGCGATTCGATAGGAACTCTTAGGTATATTACTCGAAAGGTTCTTAGTTCAAGTCACTCTTTGGTTGCTAATAGGGATGACCACGGAAGCTCTTGCTGGACCATAGTTCTAAGATTTTAGGGAATTACTTGAGATACGATTAAGTTAGCCCGAGCACCCAGGTCAAAAATAAATAAATAAAGCTCAAAGACCTCTTAATCTTAATTGAATTACGTATATATAAGGTATATCATGGGTTTTTTTTTTTTAAATGTATTATCCTATAAATTTAACGAATTATTAAGGTTGTGTTTGTTTTAATATTTCTAACCTATCCTATTTTATCGTACCCAAAAATTCATATTTGTTTTCTAGTCTAAAAATCTAATTTTATTCTATTCAACCATTTAAACTCATAAATTTTGTTAATTTAACTAAACACCCCCAATTAAAAAAAATTTATAAATTGATAAAAACACTCCCATCCACTCACATATTCTCAGAAGCCTGTGGCCAACATTTAATGGGTAGGTAAAAGTGTTTTTATTAATTTTAGAACTTTTATTATAGGGGTGTTCCACTAAATTAACAAATATAGAGGATTAACAAATAATCTTACCATTTACCAAATACATTTTCAAATTCAAATCATCTCCTCTTAATAATAACCCAACTCAACTTTTTCAAAAATACTACTTAAAATAATAAAACAAATACATCCTAATTTACCACATTGGCCCAAATCAGGACCGGCCAAAAATATTGGCTGCGTTTGTTTCACATTTGGGAATACTACTTTTAGTATTCCCAAAAAAGTTAAACAGTAATATACCCAAAATTTCAGATTTTTGGGAATACTACTCCCAAAATTATTCAACTTTTTTTAAACCCCTTAAATTTGATAATTTAATTAAATACCCCTAAATATTTTTTTTAAATTACAAAAACACCCCAATAATCCAAATTTACCAGATTCCGGCCACCACCACCGGAAAATGGCCGGAATCTGGTAGAATGGCGCACTACCGGCTGAATCTGGCCGGCAGTGCGCCGATCTAGCCTTTTCCGGCCAGATCCACGGTGGATCTGGCCGGAAAAGGCCAGATCTAAGGCCAAAGATCTGGCCGTTGACGGCCAGATCTTTGGCCGTAACACTCGGTCACGACGGCCAACAAACGGTCGTCGTTGACCATCAACGACGACCGTTTGTTGGCCGTCGTTGAGAGTAAATACGGCCAGATCTGGCCGTTGACGGCCAGATCTGACCGTAGATCTGGCATTTTCCAGCCAGATCCACCGTGGATCTGGCCGGAAAAGGCCATAGCGACGCATGACCGGCAAGATCCAACCGGTCATGCGCCCATACGGCGACTCCGGCCACCTCCGGTGGTGGTCGACGGCTGGGGGTGTTTGAGGGTGGGTTAGGGGTATTTTTGTTAACTTTTAATGTTTTATTATAGGGGGTATTTTGTAAAAAAATAAACATAAAGGAGATTTTATTAATTTATAAATTTTACCTCGTAATACCCGCCCAATTCAACTTTTTTTTAACTTTTTTCAAAAAACTTTTCCCAAAACCCCCAAATTTTGAACCAAACGCAGCCATTATTTAATCGATTTTATTAATTTATCAAGGTTCATATAAGGGCAAATTTGTGATGGGTTGATTAAAGAACTACAAGAAGCCATTACAGTCATATCTAACAATCTAATTGCATTTGAAATAACATTTGCTTTGGTGATTGAAGGTTATACTGTTTGAGTTACATTAGAAATGCAATGAAATCAAGATTACAACAGGAAGCAAAAATGGCATTTTAATCACATTCTAAGAACCCATTTCATCAAATGTTGATTCGAAATATATAGTCCTCGCTCTCTAGTTCTTCATGAGGCAGATTAATCACCGGCGTTTCGCGTTTCTCGCAAGATTCTTCACAATATGATGATCTCTTTCCCTGTAAAATGTGAGAATGGATTCATATATGTCACAAAAAACAATTAAAACTTGAGCAGTTTCTGCACTAACCTTCCTCAAGATATAGAAAAAATAGTGAAATCCATCACCAAAAGTGCTATACTCAAATGACCACGTAAATTTTGGAGCGTTAAACAAAGGACGCCTGAGGTGAGGCTGCATGAGATACCAGTTTCAAGTAAAAATTGTATTCCTAGTGCAAAGGATGTACGTACAACCAATCAATCATGAAATGAATGCATGTCACACACGCTAAAGTGGCACCTGTAGAATATTTTTTTTCCGTAGCACAGCTATTAAAAGACGAAGGATTAAATTTTACTTGGGATACCTGGCCAAAAGAAATGGAGATGAAAATCCCATCTGGTTTCAGAACTCTATGAACACCTTCAAGCATAGCCATGACCTTGGTCACTGTTTCGGGTCGCGGATTCCATGGATCGCCACTGTTCACAAACAATACTTCCTTCAAAACCGAAAAAGCTTCCACAATATTAAAAAAATAAAAATAAATTAAGAACTGTGATCACAAAACTGATCTCAACAATCAGGAAAGACAAACTGAAAGTAATATGAAAATCACTGTTTTATGTCTATTTACCATAGTTCCTTTCTCAATAACCACATCAAAACACTCGGCACTAAAGGGCAGGTCTAGCATATCGGCTTCCAACACCTTTATTTCTGATGGGAGGTAAAAGAAGAAACCATGAACAACAATAGCTTAGACATACATCACTTTTAGCAGTCAAACTTTCCTATTCGAGTCACACAACAGTGAATAACTCATAAGTAAACAAACATAAAAATATCAGGGGTTGCTAAGTTTAATGTTCTGTCTGACAAAAAAATTCATTGGCATTGATAGAGGAATCCAATCATTAGCCACTCAGTATTATAAACATTTTATTCCAACAATTTACTTTATATGAATAATTGAGCTTTTCAAGTCACTCAACTATGAATAACTGCATTTTAAGCAGAAAATGAGTTTTTATATAGGCGGATAAGTGAACACAAACTTTAGAAATACTGATTCATATCTACCAACAAACCTTTATATCCCTTCAACCGCAAACGTTCCTGCATCTTCCCAATGGCAACAGCCGATAGATCAATGCATGTTATATCAGTGATCCCATCGTTATACAATTCATCACTTAAATGAGAGTTTCCGCAGCCCAGCTCCAATACCTTCATCACACAATTTTGTCGTCAACACTGTGTTGGCGTGTCTTGCTAAATGTACAATTTAAAAATATTTAAACAAACTAGCTTAAGCCACTCTACACAAAGCATTATGATACTGAAAAAGTTATGTGAGTTGAAACCCAACAAGTTCAAATACCAACCCAAAGCTTTCTGTTAAAAAACAACCAACACCTTGTATCACCAACTTTAGCAGTAGATAACAAACTAATAATCTCTTTCCCTTCAAATTAGTACTCCTTTCTTACAAATTCTCTTAATTCTAACTAGGGTTAGGGAACTACCGCATGAAGTAACTTGTTAATAAAGTATTCTGAGTAGCCAGGTGACTCCAACAGGAGTTGAACCATAGCTTAGAAAGAGAAGTCTTGGACAAGAACGGCGTATCAAGTCATCTATATATCCATCCGATAACATCCTACCACCAATACATTTATTTTCTCTTTTCTCCAGTTAACCACTGCTAAGAGTGGTTAATAAAGATAAATGCATAGACGGTGGAATTTTATTGAATGGCCGTATACCTTCTCTACTTAAAAGACAGTAACTGCAAAAGTTCTTCAGTGGGACGGGCATATGTACATCCGTCCAATCACAATACAACGTGATTGGATAGTGACACATATGCCCATCCCACAGAAGACTTCACTAATTAATCAATACACCATGAAATTAGCTAAGTAGTAAATTAACACTACCATTATATTTCTCAAAACCGCCTAAATGAACAAGCTGTAACCCACAAAAACAAACTACAAGTCTAAAAGGTAATGCAATTATCCAAGTCAACAAATTTAGTAGCTTAGTAAAAACCCATTTTAATAATATCCATCATTTAAAGAGAGAAAGTGGTTACAGAAGAACCAGGTTTAACATGCGCTCGAACGAGGTGGCGAAAATGAGTGTAATCTTTGAGCCACTCGTAGTGTTCCTCATTAGAGAACCTCTCATTCCTGAAACCAAAAAAAAAAAAAAAAAAAAAATCATAAACAGAGTGAGACGAAAACAGAAACAGAAAATTATTTATAAGCAAATATAAGTACCAGTAGTGAGGATCAAGATAAGCTGAAGTTGAGGAGGGTAAAACAGCTTTCTTCTCCGCTGATTTCGGATTTTGATCCGTTTCCATTTATGGGTTCGTGGGTCAACCCGCTCTTTCCTCCTTTTGCTCTTCTTTCTTAGTGGGTGCGTTCAAAGTTCAAAACAAACCCTAAGCCAAAACCCCAGCTTGTTAGTTATTTAATCACTATAAATTTTATAATATAATTAATTAAAAAACAATTATTTAATGTAAATTATGTAATTTCGGGAAAAAAAAAATTGAGATTTAAAAATTAAATAACTTTTTAATGGGAATTTTTTTTCCCCTTTGTTTTTTCAGATAATTTATATGATTTGATAGAAGTTTTGACTAATTAACTAGGGCTGAATTTGATTAAATGCAGTTATTTTAATCTAAATTTTAATATAATATTTATGAAAAACAAAATTTAATTTGTATTAAATGTTAATCAGATTTGTCTAACAAGAATTTTTCATTTTTTGTAACCAAAGTGTCCGAACCAGTTCATGTGCACCTCGATTAATCCTCAGAGGAAACTAGCGCAACATCTCATCGTCATAACCTCTCACTTAAATTGCGGAAATTCCTTTCACTTTTTGTCAACTTAATACCAATGCAATATACTTAATACAAAATTTAATTGAATCTTTTTTTTTTTTTTGTATAACCAATGTGTCAGGATTAGTTTACGTGCATTTCCACTAATCCTCAGAAGAGACTAATGTAACAACCAATCGTCACAACTTATAAAAATTCAAGCTTTTTGATCTCTTTCACAATCTAAAGAGTAGAAGTTGTTTAATTGGCCTTAAAAAACTTGCCTGATGAAACAATAAAAAGAGGAAATAGTACACAAGAAGATCAACTTTTATAATCACAATGCTTGATTCTCATTCAATATACTTCAGCTTGAAATTGTCAAAACAATACTTGGAAAGAGGTGATGAAAAATGAATCCCAGGGAAGAAATAAATGCATATTACTTATAAAATGAATCCTGTAATTTCAATAGCTTGCCTCTTCATACAATTACAGGTAAACTCGCCGAGCATAATCCCTGGACAGGAGTCCTGATAACTTCGATGGTTCTGCGAGAGTGACGGTTGTCAGGATTGCAGTCGAGTTATGGATTTGGTATAAGGTAACTTGTTCATTCCAAGAGGAAGATTATGAAGGATATAGAGTTATTACCTTGTTGAATGGTGAGCTGTTTTTTCTCTAAGATTTCCTTGGGGATGGAGTTGGAGATGCTGGAGGCTTCATGTCTTCATACCTATGAAATGTTTCATGGCGATAAAGAGAATAAATAATAATGTTATATTTAAATAACATTCATACAGATCAAAGCTATCATTTTGCAAGATTGGAAACGACGATAATCATCTTACATATGGTAGGGTGAAAGATGATAATTTGAATTCTGGGAAAGATTCTCTTCAATGACAGTAGCAACCGTTGTCTTCGCTACATCATTGCCTCCACTAAGCGGCAGGGATGTAGCTTCTGGTGTTGAGGTACTTGAAGGTATTCCTTGAGGACCGCTTGGTGTTGGACTTGGAGAGCTAGGTGGCTTTAAATCCTCATAACTAATTGAAATTAAATCAGCTTGTAAGAAACAAAGCCACATCCGTGATTTAACAAGATATTAGTAGAACTGGCTTTGTCCATCAACAATGGTTAAATCTTTCTTCACAAAATAAGGGAAACATGAGAAGAGATATGAATTACACAAAATAAGGTGAGAGAGGCCTCATTTTCTTCACATCTTCTTGGGTAGCTTCCTTTTCAAGGGTGATGCCTGATGGTTCTGAGAAAGTACTGGTTATCGGAGCTGCTGGCGTGGCATCTAAATCACTTGTTTTGGAGGCACCAGAAGTAGTGCTTGGGGTTGGAGTAGGAGACGTAGGTGGTTTCATATCTTCATAGCTTTGGAAAATATGTGAAAATGGTTTCACAAAGAGATATTTTGTTAAGTTAAGCTGCACAATTATTGAATAGATCAGCTTACCTGTTATAAGGAGAAAGTGATTGTACTGCCTCTGATTTTGCTTCAGCAGGTTCCTTTTCAAGAGGAGCACTAGGTTCCTCGGATATGGTGCTCTTCAGAGATGCCGGAACAGACCCATCTACAGCCCCTGAGTCCTGATTACAACAATCAAAGAATAATGAATGTGGCTCCCTCCTAACTAATGTCATTGTCTGGAACAACCGATGATTCCCTACAACAATGAGAGAGATCCCACTAAATGCCTTAACCATGGAGCTAATATGGCTTTGGTTCGTATCATTAACTAATTAATTTCCCATTGAACATTGCTAAAGAGAAGCCAGTTTAAGTACCATATAATTTCTCTTCTCATAAACAATCCAATTAATTGGCCTCCAGGAAAAGAAGTTGCTTTATTTCTAGCTCACTGTAACAGATATGTCCATATTATGGCGTGATTTAAGTGGGGACACTAGTGGTGGGGCTATAATGAGCAAGGTTAAACCTATTGGAACACTGACAACAAAGGAAGAAACGTTGAGAAAACAGAACAGTGGACCTTCAAAGTTTTTTACACTGATTTAAATTCTAATTACAATGGATAAGGCTATTGATGTGGAGTGGCACAGAAAGTTCTACATGGACAATAATGAGTAGTTCAAACAAAAAATTTTGTTGACTACAACTGTATACTTCAAAACTCAGATCTCTCTTATGAAGGTTTCCAGATGTATTTTTAGCAAAAAAAGATGGAAACTACCTTTGGTTCAGCACGTTGAGATGGTATCTTCGCCAGAAGTTCCTCCATAGGAGTCAGTGGTGCAGTTGTCTCTGCAATTACTTCCACCACCTTGCAGTATGAAAGGCTACGGTTTCTGGCCATGCATGCCATGAGTTCTGCCACCTGCAGTTTATCCGCTTTTGTTGTTGTTGTCATTCCATAGACTGCTGAAATAAATTGCAAGTTTGAAACTTAAATTTACATAATATATACCTGAAGGTTGGACACCTGGCCACCAAATAAAGTATCTTCTTGTGAAAGGGTAATGTTATGAGTTTCTTTATAAGCATCAGTAGGCCGCTCCATTCCCCCAGGTCTGACAATCTGAAGAAACGCTACAAGATGAGTAATCAAGTTCAATCCAAGATGCTTGCAATTGTCACATTCATAATTTATTTGCAGCTAGTAGAAGTACTTACAGTGTAAGGTAGACCACTGGCAATGAGTGCCTCTTCTGCCTTTCTTTTCCAGATTAGGACTCCCCAGAACAAACTGAAGCACCAGAGATGAAAAAAATAATCAGTAAATTTGACATCTTGACAGAGATAATCTTAGCAAGAACATTAAAGATTTTAAGCTTACTTTAGAATAGCTGCAGGAAAACCAAATTTATTTGTTCCCAAAGATGAAACCATAATGAAGTGGTTAACTTTAGCAGCAGTTGCTACACATCAAAAGAAGCATGGTGCATTTTCAAGATCAAGATGGTCAAATTTAAATCAAATTCACAAACATATAAATAAAGCTCAATGTGTTGTACCAGCATTAATAAGATTTTTTGTAGCCTGATAGTCAATACGGTAAGGTCCTGTAATGTCAAAAACCTCCTTCTCGCTGGCACCAATGCAGCATAGAACCACTGAAGCGTTGCCTAATGCTGGCCCAATCTGAATAGGTTTCTCCAAGTCACATTCCACAATTTCAAGCTTTTCTACAGCTGGGCTAAAGACCAAAGACTACCTGTTACTTGCTAAAGGAGCATATTTGTTAAATGCTAAAATTTTACAAAATAATATTTTGGTTTATTCTGTGTTCATATCAAAAAATTAAGAAACCGATATTTCGGGGCTTCTCTTTTCTTACGTTGAGTTCCTTGTTCTGCATTTCCAGGATCAAGCTTCATCCGCTTAACACTCTGCAGAATATTGTTTATAGCAAATAAGTAATTTGAGAAATAGTAACTATTAGATTTTGATTAAGTAAACTCATACTTGCACAAGATCTTGTGCTCTCTGAGCACTCCTTACTCCAGCTCTAACTCGATAACCAAGTTTCAAAAGCTCCCTGAAAAAGGTTCCAATAATTTATCACATTCAACAAACCAGTCATCCCATGAAAGCCGCTTTGACCACAAAAGAGAAATGAGAACATAGAGTCTCACCTCACTGTTCGGGAACCAACTTTACCAGTAGCACCAGCAACAAATGCAAGATCATCATCTTTCGAATCTGCTTTCTTTAGAGTTTCCCCTGCTGCCTCTGAACGGACTTTTATTGCGCCTTGTTGACACACAGAAACATCCATTAGATATAATTAGGGTAAAAATGCAGATTATCCTATTGCTTCACCAAACAAATCTAGCATACCCCATGTATATATATATGCCAAGTTTTTCACTTCCCCATGAAGGTTTATACAAGATTTCATTGCGTGTCAGTACATTATACGCAACTAATTTTCGTCCTGAATCATAATCATACAAAATGTTCTTCAACACTTAAAAACCCTTTCTCATCACTATAATCAATCCACATTGTAAAACCAATAGTTTCTCACTTTCAAATTTGATTTTTGCAGACCAAGTTGGAACAAGAAACAATTCCAGGGAACAAACAAAAACAACTAAATAACTGATAGAGCAGATTAATATGATGCTAAAAATTTCGCAACATTATAACAAGCAACAACTAGTTCAATTGCAATTGACCTCATTTTATCCTCAAACAAAAAGATACCCATTTCACAGACAAAAAAAAAAACCATATACAGAGCAAAACCCTGATCAAATGTAGGAGAGTCATCGAAGTATACCAGAAGCTTGAGCTTTGAAATCAACAAACTTGAGGTTTCTAGCCACTGAATGCTTCTTTGAAGTGGGAAATTTGAGGAACTGAGAATAGCCAAAAGGTCTTTCAATGAGTCCATTCCTGGACAGAGAAGTTGCCGTAGAAGTTAGAGCTGCTGACGGGAAGGAGGAACTCTCCATTGCCACAACAAAGAAAGAATGTGATTAAGAGGTCAGTCAACAAGAGCTTCACAACTCAACTGTTTTATCTTTTAAGGTTGCTTTTTCAGTTAGTGGTAATCTCCAGTTCTCCACCCCTTCAGGATATGATGGGCCCCTCCAGCAACTATTCTGAAATCACGGCTACTGAAAATATAAATGGAGATATAAAGAAATAAAAATAAAATGAGTTAACACCTTTTCCCAATAACATTTTTTCACCCAGAGATATTTAAAATATCACTTTATTACCCAAATTAATATTCTGATGGCGAAAAGAAAGCAAACTCGATCCAAGCTATTAGAGCTTTTAAAGATGGAAAGTCAATGAGTCTTTTGAAGATTAGACTTTGATGGTTAGAATTAATCGAAATTTGATTTAGGAGAAGCATTGTTTTAAAACCTGGATCGGAGGGTAACCCATTTCGCTGTCAAGTCACGGGTCAACCGGTCCAACCGGCTGGTTGGATCGATGATGTCAGCGATAATTTTATTTTAAAAAAATTACATATTGTCCCTCAAATTTTAATATATTACACAAATTTCCCAAAAAAAAAGTTTAATGAGTCCCTAAAATTTTTATTTATTTAAAAAAGCCCCAAAAAATTACTAATTAATCCCTAAACTTTTGACATATCTCCAAAACACCCCAACAAAATTAAAATTAACCCTTATAATTTTGAAATATTACAAAAACCCCTTAAGACCTGAACCGGACCAAAGAAGCTGCCAGGTCTCGGTTTGACCGGTCCGACTGGCCAATTCGGTCCGGTTTTTAAAACAGAGGGGAGGAGCGATTGTGCAAACCATAATCGCTCGATTGATGGGGTCGGCAGGAAAAGGGTTTGAGGGGTTTTGGTAAGTGATGATCGGGAAAGAGAATAGTGGTAATAAGGGATTGTAACGATGCCAAAATCAGAAAGGAAATATAAATTTAGATAGTAAAATAGTATTTTAAAAGTACGTAAATAGGAAAATGTCATTAAACAATTATTTAGGTGGGAAAAAAGTCTTTTACTCAAATAAAATAAATAAATATTTTTTTTTTTCTAGGCCTCAAATATTATCAAACCCCAACTAGTTAGCTGGAGTCGGTTAGTCTGTTACTTGTTTCTTTGGTTGCTCTTAAGTTAAATGTTACATCAGTTAGTGTATCAACTTACTATAAATTAGCTTGGTGTTATTCATAAAAGAGGGGAGATAATCGGACAGAGGAACGCGAGAAAGCATGAAAATTCCCGAACGAAAAAGGTAAAGAGTTNAGAGCTTCACAACTCAACTGTTTTATCTTTTAAGGTTGCTTTTTCAGTTAGTGGTAATCTCTAGTTCTCCACCCCTTCAGGATATGATGGGCCCCCCCAGCAACTATTCTGAAATTATGGCTACTGGAAATATAAATGTAGATTTAATATCACTTTTCACCCGCAAACTTTTAAAATACCACTTTATTACCCAAATTAATATTCCGGTGGCGAACAGAGAGCAAACTCGATCTAAGTTGTTAGGCCTTTTGAAGAGGGAAAGTCAATGAGTCTTTTGATAGTAGAAGATTGGACTTTGGTAGTTAGAATTGATCGGAATTTGACTTGGGAGGAGCGGCTGTGCAAACCTTAATCGCTCGATTGATGGGGTCGACGGGAAAAGGGTTTGAGGGGTTTTGAAAAGTGATTGTTGGGAAAGAGAATGGTGGTGGTGTTGGGTCGCAACGATGCCGAAATCAGAAAGAAAATATAAATTTGGATAGTAAAATTGTATTTTAAATGTCTGTGAGTAAAAAAATGTCATTAAACAATTATTTAGGTGGGAAGAAGTCGTTTACTCAAATAAAATAAATAAATATTTTTTCTACAACAATATTTAAACTTTTAAAATACCATTTTATTATCCAAATTAATATTCCGATGGCGAACAGATAGCAAACTCGATCCAAGCTGTTGGGGCTTTTGAAGAGAGGAAGTCAATGAGTCTTTTGGTAGTAGAAGATTGGACTTTGATGGTTAGAATTAATCGGAATTTGACTTGAGAGGAGCGACTGTGCAAACTCTAATCGCTCGATTGGTGGGGTCAGGGGGAAAAAGGTTTAAGGGGTTTAATGAGTGATGATCGGGAAAGAGAATGGTGGTAATAAGGGATCGCAACGATGCATAATAAAGTAATATTTTAAAAATCTATGAGTGGGAAAGTGTCGTTAAACAATAATTTAGGTGGGAAAATGTCGTTTACTCAAATAAAATAAATAAATTTTTTTTTTTTTCTAGGCCTCAAATATTATCAAACCCCAACTAGTTAGCTGGAGTCGGTTAGTCTGTTACTTATTTCTTTGGTGGCTCTTAAGTTAAATGTTACATCAGTTAGTGTATCAACTTAGTATAAATTAGCTTGCTGTTATTCATAAAAGAGGGGAGATAATCGGACAGAGGAACGCGAGAAAGCATGAAAATTCCCGAACGAAAAAGGTAAAGAATTTTGTTCATGTAGATTTTTTATTTTCTCTTCAAAGGGAAATAATATTTTGGTTTTTTTTTTTTTTACAGGAATGGTTTCATATACATAAAATGTAGCTATTGTCTCCGCCCCATCCATGCAGGCCGCGAGGTAAATTTAATCTGATTAAAAAGGAGAAAATATTTTGACTGTTTTTAAAAGCACTTACAGGGAATGCTGCTAAAAAGCACTTAATTCTTCTCTTTATGCAGTTTTCTGAAAGGATAAAAATAGAGCGTGGCGTTTATTATCACAAGGGCTGCTACAACTGTGGACAAAAATGTCCTGTTTGCTTGAAACCAGTAAGTCTATCGATAAATTTAGGGGTGAACATGGGTAAAGGGTAGAACTAGAACCGACCCTATTAGGGTCTGATTCCAGTTCTGGAAAATTGGAACTGGGAATTCCTAGGTCTGGTTCCAATTCCTACAATGCTGGAATTAGGAACTAAAACAGAGGTCCGGATACCCGCGTAGGAACTGACTCTAAATTGAAATTTATCTGGGTACCGAAACTGGTCGGTTCCAATTCTGGTTCCGGTTCTTTCAAAATATACAGAGTACTTGGAACCGATCATCCTTAATACCATACATATTCATATAAGAAATATTGATATTGTTTGTAACCTTTTTGGTTTACCTTTTAACTTGACAAAACTGCAATTAAATTGGAATTTCAGATCAGCTATCATCAAGAAGAAGAGAGCTTCCAGCATTCAATTTGGCCCCAGATCAAATACTGCAAAATTCATGTTGGCCAAATTCCCAAGTGCTGTATCTGTGAAAAATATCAGGTTTATTTGTTATCGTTTCAGGAGCACCTAAGACAGACAGACTGCGTCTTTGATTTTCTGATTTTTTGATTTTTTGTGCAGCCAAAAGATGAAAAATACATCAAACTTGTGGATGAACGAATGCTCTGCAACGACTGTCGTTGGACGGCGATCATGGATGTGGATAAACTGCAGTCGCTTAAGAATTATTTGCTTCATTTCTTCAAAGTAAATCATGTGTCCTTCAAGAAAGATATTCCCATTTACTTGGTAGACATTAATGATATCAAAAGACTTGCAAATCGTGGAGCTGTTCTTTCAGATACTACTGTAAGTCGTGTAACAAGGCAGCGACATGAAATTGTCATCAATAGTGTAAGGATAAATACATCCTTTCAAGGATTTTATCTCCATTCTTTAGAAACTATATTCATGTCATTTAATGATAATTTATTATTAAAACCAGATTATAAGCTGTACTTTGGAAGAAGAAAATATGATGGAGATAGTGCCCAACAGGCTCCAGGAACTGCAGCTGAAACCCCCTTGGATTCTGATCGCTTATGGCTTACCATGGTACATAAATTTTCCATGTCTTTCACCTGTTTGTTTCTTGGATTTCAATTGGATTGTAGAATCAATATTCTTATAAAGTGTTGATGATTTTGGCTTAAATACTTTTGGGATACAATGTTTTTGAAGTTTTGGTAGATACCATATTATTTAGCCAAGCCTTTTGTCGGTGCCAAAGTCCCACATCGGTTAGGATACGAGGATTTTGGTTGCTTATATAGCACAAGAATACCCTTATCTCCCAGAGGCGTCCACTCCTAAGTGGGACAAAATCGTGAGCCACTGCAGCAAAGCGAACAATATCTCTTACATGGACTAGGTCGACAAATCCCTTCCATCCAAGAGACGCCTTTTTGTGGACAAAACCGTGTGAGTCCCACATTGGTTAAAAGATGAGAACCTTAATCTTTTATATAGCACAAAGACATACTCGTCTCTCAAAGGCATCCACTCCTAAGTGGGACAAAATCGCGAGCCAGTGTAGCAAAGCGAACAATCTCTCTTACATGGACTAGGTTGACAAATCCCTTTCATCCAATCCAAGAGACGCCTTTTTATGGATAGAACTGTGTGGGCCCCATGTCTGAAAGCGGATATTGGTGTCAAAATCCCACATCAGTTAAGAGTGTCAAAATCCCACATCAGTTAAGAGATGAGGACCTTGGTCCCTTATATAGCACAAGGACACTCTCACTTCCCAAAGGCGTCAACTGCTAAGTGGGACAAAATCGTGAGCCATTCTAGCAAAGCGAACAATCTCTCTTACATGGACTAGGTCGACAAATCCCTTCCATCCAAGAGGCGCCTTTTGGGCCCCAGGTTCCAAAGCGGACAATACGTCTACATACATCTGTCTTTGTGATAATAATGTTTTGTGTAATTGGTGATTTATACCACGTATTGTTAGTCTTATATTTTATATATTCTGCACAAACAGGTTAATAGCTGGGGAGCTCTTGGCTCAGGAAATGATGCACGTCTGGCTGCAGCTGAAGAAAGGTGATCTATTTCTTGCTTCAATCTCCAGGAAATTAACAGTTGCATCTGTGCTAATATTATCCAATATTATTATTACTTTCTTTGCAGATTACAAAACGTTTAACTGGCCATTGAAAGAGGGAATCTGCAGGGCGATGGCGTACAATTGCTTGGGCTACATAACAGACCCGGCAGGGAGCGAAAGAGAGAAGAGAATAAAATTTTTCCAGGAGATGAGAGCGTTTCGGAAGACGAGAATACAGAACGAAAGGCCACAAGTGTTTGGATTGGGATACATGGGAGCAACAAATGCAATTAAAAGATATGGATTAATCAGCACACTTGACAGAATTTTCGCTAAGACCAACGGAGGAACAACGCAGGCGGCCATGAATAGAGATGAAGATTTCGAATACACCCCTGATTACGTACGAAGCCTGTCCAGGAAAATTTCTAGTTGACACCAGAAAGCAATTAATATCAGATATAAATTTTGTCGAATATTTAAGAAAGATTAACTTCCTGAAGACATTTGACAATAAGAACAATATATATATAATTACCTCTACATAGTTTCACGGTTCGCTTGAGACTCTTAACTGTATTACTTAAGAGGTCCGCAGTTCAAATCCCCATAACTACTAATAAGGGGGAGCCACGGGAGGCTTACTTAGCCGTTAACTTCAGAATCTCAGGAGATTAGTTGAGGTATACACAAGTTGGCCTGAACACCCTTGGATACCAAAAAAAGAAAAACAATATATGTATATAAATGTAAAAATTATATAATGATTTGGCTCCCGTTTGTTAGGAGTTGGAAATTAAAAACGTTTTATGTGTTTTGGTAAAACCAACACATAAAACGTTTTATTTATAAATTATAACATAAAACTTTTTTTTTTTTTTTTCATAACCGAGGTGTTTGGGCCTGTTTATAGGCACTTAAACTAATCTCCAAGGTCCATTGAATACCTACAAGTCTAATGAGTTATTTACAAGCCTAATGGGTCACAGGTAAGTCAACTAATACCCAAGGCTCCATTAAACATTCTACTAGCCTAATGGGTCACGAGTAATGCTACAACCATTGACGGTAGTGCACCGAATGATGTGGCTAAATCCTGACCGTTGATTAATATTAAGTTAAAATTAATCAACGGTCAGGATTTTGTTACGTCATTCGGTGCACTACCGTCGGTGGCTGTATTATTTTCCAATGGGTCACAGGTAAGTTAACTAATCCTCAGGATCAATTGAACACCCTGCAAACCTAATGGGCTAATGGGTCATAGGTAAGTAAACTAATCCTTAGGGTCCATTAAATATACAAGCCTAATAGGTTACAGGTAAGTCAACTAATACGAGGATCCATTGAACACCCTACGAGTCCAATGAGTCATCTACAAACCTAATGGGCCATAGATTAGTCAACTAATCCCAGGGATTCGTTAAACTCCCTACAAATCTAATAGGCCACAAGTGAGTCAACCTATCCCAAGATCCATTAAACAGCCGATAAACCCAATTTGTCATGTAAGTCACAAATGTGGTAAAAGACCACTTTGTGGGACTTAAAACACAAATGTGGTTGGAAACCATTGTGCAGGACTCAAACACAAGACCTTTTGATAACCCATCTAGATGGTTAAAATCTTGCCGTTAGACCCTATTGATATATAAAAATCTAATGTTACACATTATAATAGTGATGCACAATGTTTATTAACATTCCTTAATGATGTTTAAAACGTGACTAAAACACACAAGAACAAGAGAAGACAAAAAGGACAAAAATGGTGGTTAAATCTGAAAAAGTCTAGAAGCTAAAATGTGTTCACACAATTGTATGGAAAAACAAAATCAATGTGGCAATTTGAAGAAGAAAAAAAAAATAGAGATTGTCATGTTCCTCATGGAACCCATAAATTTTATTTGATGTAAACATGGTTGATGGGTAAGTCTAAAGTCCAAGTCCATAACTATAGGTCATTTTTAAGCAATAAATGAAGAAAATATTTCCCATCACATAAACACATATATAATTCATAAAATATTTTATGGTGTGAATTGAACAAACTGATCCGGATACAACAGTTATAACTCTATATTTGCATGATTCATATCCAAATCCATATGGCTCCGTTTGGTTCATTATTCTGATACTTTCTAGAATAATATTTTGAAAAAGTTAAATTGGGAAGGTATTACGATGTAGGATTTGAAAATTAACAAAAATACCCCTATGTTTGTTTATTTACTAAACACCCCTATAATAAAATATTAAAAGTTAACAAAAACACCCCCAACCCACCCATTAAATACGGACAGCTGGCCACCACCGCTGGAGGGTTGCTGGAGTGTTTTTGCAATTTCTAAAAAAAATATTTAGGGGCGTTTAGTTAAATTAACAAATTTAAGGGGGTTTAAAAGATATTAAATAATATATAATAATATTTTGAGAATAAGTCAATTTTACTATTTAACTTTATTGGGAATACTAATAATATTATTCCCAAGAGTGTAACAAACGGAGCCTATATTTTTTATAACCAACGAACTAGCTTATACACACTTCAACTAATCTCTGAGATCCATTGAACATCTTACAAGCCCATTACGCGGGTAAGTCACAAATGTGGTAAATGACCATTTTGTAGGACTCAAACACAAAACTTATGGGTAACCCATCAAGATAGTTAAAGTCTTGCCGTCCGGATCTTAAACTTGTTCTATCGATTGCAAGTTTTTATTAGATTTTTAGTTGAAATAATATTCAACCGTTAGATGACTTTCTCACAAATTAAACGACTCCTCTTTTTGGCGTACATTATTTTAAACGTAACGTAATACAACCCTATAAAAACATTCTTACATTAAGTATTGAGACAAATCACATTTTCATCATTAATTTAGGTAATTTAGAAACTTTATAAATGAAAAAAAGAAAAAACGTTAATTCAAATAAAAAATAATAATAATTCCTTTGAGACTAAATTCATTTAATCAATCTCTTGAGACTAAAAGTAATAAGAAGGAATCACAAATTTACAAACAAATACCAAAACGAAGGATCCTTCTTGACAAAACGACAACGCATCCTTAATTAATAAAATATATATTAAAAGAAAATCTGAAAAAACATGGAACACGAGTTGATGCAAAGCATATAATGCGCACCTTGGGTGCACAATTCATATTCTCTTTTCATTCTTCGCTAACGTGCGCATTATCTCCCTCCAACGGTATCTCATGGCGACGACAACTCTCCAACTCTGCCGTTTCTGTGCGCGTACGGACATAGCCTCCCGTGAACATCGCGCCGGAGTGTTCGCTCTCAGGAGCCGGAAGCCGTTATCGGTTAAATGTTCCAGCGATGAATCTCCCAGTAGTGCTTCCGTGGCTGTTGATTCTAAATTCGACTCCAAGAAGTTCCGGCATAACTTGACCAGAAGTGAGAATTATAACCGTAAAGGATTTGGCCACAAAGAAGAGACTCTCGAGCTCATGAATCAGGAGTTCACAAGTAAGAGTTTTTTTTTTTTCTCTCTCTAAATTTTGTGTTTTATCTTCTTCTTTTTTTTTTTTTTAAATTTAGTTAAATATTCAGCTAAATTTTGGATTTTTAGTAATCTAGAATTGGTGTCTTGTTTGTTTTTATTTTTATTAAATATTTAATATTCGGCTCAATTCTTATTTTTTAACTTTTTCTTATGAGTATAGTTTGCTTTGATGAGCTTGAAGTAGAGTACTGAAGCTTGTATGTACATAAATGATGAAAAGATACATATTGAAGTTGTATTTTTTTTTTTTTTTAAAATTATTATTATTATTTTGAGTAGTTGTTACTTGTTTTTGTTTATGGAGTAATGAGTTTGTTGTAAATGATCAGGTGATATTATAAAGACTTTGAAGGAGAATGGATATGAGTACACATGGGGAAATGTTACTGTGAAGCTGGCAGAAGCTTATGGCTTTTGCTGGGGAGTTGAGCGTGCTGTGCAGATTGCTTATGAAGCGAGAAAACAGTTTCCAACTGAGAAGATCTGGCTAACCAATGAAATTATTCACAATCCAACTGTTAATAAGGTCTTATAAATTTTATGCAACTTGTTTCATCATCTGAGTTTTCAGATTTTGATGCCTGTTTCTTGTTATGGATTTTAGTGAAACTTTATTAAAGTTTTAAGAGTAATTTTTTCCTGACCACATCATCGTAATGGAGTCTGTCTTTTTTATGGGTTATTCTTAGAATATAATGATGGACTGATTGTTGAAGCTCTTATATTTTTCATGGCAGCGTTTAGAGGAGATGGAAGTTGAAAATATTCCTATTGATGAAGGGAAGAAGCAATTTGACGTGGTGAATAAGGGTGATGTTGTGGTTTTGCCTGCATTTGGTGCTGCAGTGGAAGAAATGTTGGTCTTAAACGATAAAAAGGTGCAAATCGTTGATACAACTTGCCCCTGGGTATCCAAGGTACGTTTAGCATAGACAGGTCGTCTGTCATTGTGATTATTGTTTTTGCTGTGACTCTTCAACTTTGCATGTTGCAACTTTTGCTTAGATTTGTAACTTTAAAATTTTCGTGAAGGTTTGGAATTCTGTTGAGAAGCACAAGAAGGGAGACTACACTTCAATTATTCATGGTAAATATGCTCATGAGGAAACCGTAGCAACTGCATCATTTGCTGGAAAATATGTCATTGTGAAGGATATGAAAGAGGTATGTTCAAAAGGGGGCTAATATTCTGTTTTCTGATATTTCAATATTTTTTGAAGAAACAATACAATAAACAAAGGAGATTTTCATTATAATGTTTTCTTATATGTTCTTACTGCAGGCAACATATGTTTGTGATTACATTCTTGGGGGGCAACTGAATGGATCTAGCTCTACAAGAGAGGAGTTTCTAGAGGTAAAAGTTTGTTGCTCATTTGGCCATGGGTGTCAATTACCTTGTGGAGTTGTGCAGATATTGAATGGTTGTTGGCTTGTCTGCAGAAATTTAAGTTTGCAGTTTCAGAGGGGTTTGATCCAGATCAAGACCTGATAAAAGTTGGCATTGCAAATCAAACTACAATGCTCAAGGGAGAAACAGAAGAGATTGGTCGGTAGCATTTATGCTAATTTCATTCCTTTGTTCTCCTAGAAAGTTTAACACTGGTATTTACTTTTCTTTTTTTATTTATGTTTACAGGAAAATTAATTGAGAGAACCATGATGCAAAAATATGGTGTGGAAAATGTAAACGACCACTTCATGAGCTTCAACACAATCTGTGATGCTACTCAAGTAATTTTCAGTTCTCTACTCGTGATTTTTACCGTTTAGATTTTCTAATCTTGTGAATTATAGAGCATTCTATGGCTTAATATCATTCTCTGCTTAATAAAAAACTTATAAGTTGCACTTTTATGAACCAAAGAGAACTATATTTCTATTTAACGACAAAGCTACCTTCCCCGGAAATACACAATAAAGCCAAACTGCAAGTTATTTGAAAGCAAAGTTGCTTATGCCAATTGCTGACCAATATATTTAGTCTTCAGTCCAACTTATGCTCACTTCTTTTCTTCCAATTTCAGGAGCGACAAGATGCAATGTATAAGCTCGTTGATGAGAAGCTGGATCTCATGTTAGTGGTTGGTGGGTGGAACTCAAGCAATACCTCACACCTTCAAGAGATTGCAGAAGACCGTGGTATTCCCTCATATTGGATTGACAGTGAGAAAAGAATAGGCCCAGGAAACAAAATAGCCTATAAGTTGATGGTAGGTTGAACACATTAAAATTTTATTCATCAAGTTCTCACTTTCACTAACTCGATAAAGAAAATGGAAAATAATTTTACTTTCCAAAATCTGAGATCATCTGATCACACGTAACTCGATGTCTTTTACAGCATGGGGAGCTGGTTGAGAAAGAGAACTGGCTACCACAGGGTCCGATCACAATCGGTGTAACATCTGGTGCCTCGACTCCAGATAAGGTAAACTCTCATCCACATACAAATTAGGATCTTACGTTGGCAGAATAGTTTCTCATTTATTTATTCTTTTTTTCTTTTCTTTTCCGATTTGTACAGGTTGTTGAAGATGTACTTGTTAAGGTTTTCAACTTGAAACGTGAAGAAGCCTTGCAATTAGCATAAATCAATGTCCACACAAACACATTATGAATCAGTTATACTATGTAACCTTAACTTTTTAGTTCTGTAATATAAAGTCGTATGCTTTTTGGGTTCCATTTCTTTTGCCTCTTTTCATTTCATTTCCTAGCCAACATGGTAAAAACAAGTCAAATGTACTAATTTCTGGCCACAGGTTTATAGATTTTCTTTTTCTCAATACCTCTCTGAGGAAAACAGAGTGCTTCATTGAAAAATCAAATATGGCTTCTCCTGTATTTGAATCTAATCAGCTTCATTCATTGGGTTTACTGCCCCATGTTTTCATGCGAGCTTCAGCTAGCAAAGCCTGCAACATTTAGGCAAATTCCATCACTGGATTTTAAACATACGAAATCTCGCAAAACTAATGCCCATTTAGCCATTGTTTTAGAATCCAGCCCGGCCCGGCCCGGCCGGTGAACGAGGTTGGGAGAGTCTAAAAACTGGAGAGCTTATTTGACCCAGATTCACCCAGGGTTGGATCGGGGGTATTGTAACAACCCGCTGGTCAAACGTTTTGGAAAAAACCGGGTGACTGAAATTGTAGAAAACGACGACTTCAGGTGGGCAAACATGAATAGGGGTTAGGGGGTTTTGAAGGGTGGATCATGGTGAGTCAGGAGGTGGTCTTTGATTAAGTTTTAGTCACCAGAATCATCGGAATTTGGCCAAGAAACAACCAAACCCTAGCTTCTGATTGCCAGGCTTAGCCTCGAGTTAGTTTTTAAGACATTGCATTTAACAACTGTGTTCGTGTCTTACCTCTTTCTGCCATTTGGTTCGGGCTATCAGGCAAGACAGAAACAACGTCTGCATAAAGCAACCGAGCAACAGCCCCGACCATATGCCATAAACGCCATAGTTAAACTTGTAGCCGAGCAAGGCACTAACAGGAAGTCCGAAGATGTAATAACATGAAACATTTATCAATGCAACCAAAACCTGCCACCCTGCACCAACTGCAACCCCTGCAAAACAAAAACGGAACAATTTCTGTGTCAGTTTTACAACACTTTAATAGAATTCAAAGGTAAAATTCATTACCATAGAGAACAGGTTGAATGCTGTTGAGGAAGATGGTTGCTGCCAGAAAAAATCCCAGCTTTGAAGTCTCTCTAATCACTGCTGCTTTATCTGTGAACATTTTCGGAAATTGGTTCTTGGTTGCCACAATTGCTACTGTGAATAAACTTCCCATCGTAGTCGATGTTATGATTGCCACAACTATGGCGAATTTTGTTGCTTTCGGATGTCCGGCTCCGAGTTCATTCGACACTCGCACGCTTCATTAGAATCAGAATTTACTTTTTTAGAATAAAAGATAATCTATCTATCCACGAATGATGTTAAACACAACAAATGATGTATTCTATAACGTACATCTTCAGAAGGGACTGACCTTATGGCTGCATTGAAACCCAGAGCAATCATCACAAACCATAGTTGCAAGTTCATGCTGCCATATTAGATGATACATGAGAATCTGGAGATGATATAAGTTGAATGTTAAATAACATGAATAGAACAGAAAACTTACCAGATTGAAATGGCGTCTACAGCGATTTCTGGATTCTTTAACCATCCTACCATTAGAATAACTGCTGTATAATACCATAGCTCCAAGCTGTTACCATAACAGGTTGATCTTATATCAATAAGATGAAAAATATCCTGAAAACTTTATAATCTATAGTTGTAATTACCAGAACATCACAGCTGATGCAAGTGAGAGTTTCACAAAGCTGCATAATGACCTGAAAGCCATCAGGGAAAAGCCATTCCAAGCAGCTGGGAAACACCCGGATACAACATAATAGCTCATGGCAGAAACCATAAGCCACCAGGAGATATTCCCAGCCATGGCAGCACCAACAATTCCATGATTGAGTTTGGCCACAAAAATCCAAGTTAACAACACATGAAGAAGCAAAGTTGCCACTGAAATCATAGTCATGACCCAAACCCTGCTCTGAGATTGCAGAAACTTCTGTATAGGAAAGTTGATTGCATAGGCAAACAACTGAGGAATTACCCACAAAGAGTACTGCCCTGCTAGCTCAGAAATTCGCTTATCTTGACGAATGAGCTGCAACAATGGCGATGCATAAATGTAAACAGGAGTCAAACACAAAGCTGTAGTGCATGTAACAACAAATGATCTCTGTAAATATATTCCAAGCATCTCAAAACGTCCAGCACCAACAGCCTGCCCAGAAAGTGTCTCCAAAGCACTCCCCATCCCCAACTAATAAAAGTTAAACAAAATATCAGTTCAAACTTCAAATCAAATATGTATAAATCCTCAAACAAAAACACACAAACAGACAAATTTTTCATGAAAAGAATGCGTTTTGTTTACAAATTGACAAGAAAAAGCATATACTAAATATCGAAACAATCAAAATTTGGTGGTACTCACCATGATTCCGTAGACAAATCCTTCAATGACATTCTGGGAAACAGAAACGGCAGCAAATTCAAGCTCTCCCAAGTGACCAACAAAGGCAGCTGTGATAAACGAAATGGAGAACTCAGAGACTGATGCTAAAATCACAGGACCTGCAATCTCCCACAGTTTCTTTGATTCATTCATGCATCCTTTTTGCAAACCCCCATCCTTCTCCATCATCACACTTTCCTCAATTTCCAATGTCTTCCTCTCCATTACCAATGGCTTCTCTTCCCCTTCCATTGTGGGATCTCTTGGTGCAATCCCAGAATGTAGCAATTGTGTTACGTAGACCTCAAGTCATCAGAGTCCAACGATCGTATGGGGCTTTTCGTTTCATTATAACTAATAGATTCTAAGATTAGTAAGTGCAAGTTAGATACAATGTCGCTAAGAATTTTGTAGAATAATATATTATAGGTGATCTTTCATAAAAATTATTGTTTGAATAAAACAGATTTATGATTTTATATTGGTTTTATCAAAAAGAAATTATGTTTAGAAACTGCCCTACAAATCAAAAGTTGTATTTTAGAACTTAAAAAATATGAATATTCTTCATTTCTGAAAATTGAGTACAAGTTCAAGGGCTTGAATTGGCCACCAAAATTAGGCATAAAATCTGGACTTGAAAAACAGAAAACTCTTTGAAAACCAGAGATAATATTTCGTTATATGAAGATAAATCATGACTCATCCAACCACTTGACGGTTGGATCAGGTTCTTGAGTAGAAATAGCAGAATACAGAACTTCTACTTACCAAGTCAAAGATGTTCATATAATAATTTTGGTTCCCATAATACACTTTTTGAGCACATCAAATGATATATCAAGCATTTTACAGAAAATCGTTAAATTTTGTATCCAAGAAATATTCAATACATAAGTAGACTAAAACACTCTGGATTTTCTGTGTCAGTTATCTAATTTTCTCTTGTTTTCTCTTAATCCCCCCAAGTAGTCTCAGACTGCCAATAAAGAGTCTACAAGATCATTGAAGAATTTCCTTGCTAAATCTTACAAACTGTGGGAAGAATGAAACTCGTGGCTTTTTGCTAGCTGATGGCCATGAAGAACTGGGCTCGGTACTAGACCTCGTGAGGCAAGGCAACCACATGCCTGGAAGATTGAAACCGAGCCTGTTTTATGGTCATCCAAGAGTTGGCTTATCTTGATGAATTGTATCTCTAAATTCATGTGAATACATTAGATTTTCACCTCTTCCTTTTATGCAATATACTCTCCCCGCTTTCTATCTGACATTGCCTCAAACAAAATGATAAGCAACTCAAAAGACATTATTAACAGTACTAGTTAGATAGACCTTCACGATTGAAAGTTGAAACGTCTTAAAGTTTTTCACCAAGCCATTTACAAGTGAAAAACTAGAATTTGAGATTCGAGTAACCCATCCTGAGTAAGCTTGCGCGTACCTTAACTAGTCCTCCGGAGCCTTAAAGTTAAAGATCAAAGAAGCCTCCAGTGGCTACTCTTCCTTATTAGTAGTTGTGGAAATTCGAATTCAAGACCTTTTGAAAGTCTCAAACGAATTGCTAAGCTAACCTAGAGATAGTTGGGGTTTTAATATGCTCTTTTAGCAAAAATCATCAACGATGTTATGACTCTCTCTCTAACCACTGCACTTTCTTTTCTTTTCTGTGGATGTCATCTTTTGCTTCTTTGACTCAGCATGTGTTTATTATATATATATATGTTCTACAGTTAACTGTCTACTTTCTTTTCTGTGGATCACTGTAGCAGATAACAGCTAAATAGTTGTAATATTTCATTGATGCAGATATGTCATAATATGTTTAACTTGTTTGTAACAAAACAGTCGGAGACAGAAAAAAATTTCTCAAACAACATGAATTTGATAGTCCTATGTAAAACTTCTCTCAAGTCTGTATTCCTCTCAACTTTTTGACACTACCAAGCAAAGAGAAAGTTTTATGTGACTCTTTCATTTCACAGACCTCTGAAATTCAGGATTCACATCCAGGAAATCAATTTTTCCTTCATACACATCCAACAACTGAGGAACCTTTTCATGAAATCGAGTTATATACATATCCATAAATTTACCTTCCGTAAGTTTTAAGTAAGCGGTTGGAGATATATCTTCTCTGATCAATCCTTTGGATAGCAGATGCTGAATAACAAAACACCTTGGAGCAATCCTCTTCTCTAAGCTGAAGAAGAGACCTTCTGGCCATTTGGAAATATCTCGCGACAGCCAACCCATTCTGTTCACAAGGAAGTCCATACCTCTTGTAATCTTCTCCTCAGATATCAGCATACAGTATGGATGCTTTCTAAAAGCAGCACGAGTCTCATCCTCGGACCAACCCCACCTCCTATAAACCTCAAACTTAGATTCCCAAACCGATTCCTTCAATTGGCTAATTACTCCAACTGCCATAACAAACACAATTTGGGTAGGATCGAATCCCATTTCCTTAACCTTATCGACAATCCTGCAAAATTTAGAATGTTTGGAACGTGCTGCGCTTGATGTATTAGTCACCAAAAAGATAATACCAGAGTGAGGCACACCAATATCTTTCAAAAGAGCTATATTTGGACCAAGATTTTTACTCCTTAAATCCTGTAAAAGTCCCCGTCCCATGCGCTTCAAAACTGTAACAACTTTTTTGTCATCAATGACAACATTCTTGAGGAAATTGTAATTGGGGATGAGATGATTCTTTAAACTCCTAGATAACAATGGTGGAGTCCTAGCTATAATCTCCGCTACCTCATCCCTTGAAACTCCCATAGAACGGAAAAACTCAATCTTGGGAGAAAGTGTCTTTTCAGGATCAAATGAAATGACTCGTGGGCATCCTTTCACAACTTTAGAGATCTGGGTTTCAATGAAACCATGGTCGCTGAGAAACCTAAGGACTGAGTCCGCTCTTTCAGTGTTCTTCAATTGAATCAACTTAGAAGCAGAAACAGCACATTTTAAAGACAACCCACATGAGTTTATCAAGTATGAAAGAGTCAAAGACTCTTCCTGTTCACTTTGTTCAGTTTTTAACGCTCTCTTCCCTACATGCGAAGATGATGAAAGAAACCTAAGAGGGAAAATCTTATTTTGAGAAAAACCCAGTTGAGTAGTTGTGAGATTCAGAGCTAAATCCCTATCCCTATCCCCTTCAGCAATTACTTTTCTTGTTGTTCTACAAAGAAAACGAAACATAATGAACATAACTCACTCAAGTTTAAACTGCATTCCGGAAACTTCTTCAATTCAAACTGCCAATGGCAAGACTACGAAGGCTGAAGCTGAATATAGAGCCTTCAACGTTCAATCTTTAGCCGCCATTGTTTTGTAATGTTCACCTAGTGGGGATGTGTATAATAAGTTATTTATTTGACCCCATAGAAAACAGAAAAGAGGTTCGGGTCAGTTTCGGGTCAAGTGCTTCACCATTTCATAGGGCTGTGCAAAACCGGGTACCCGCTCCGAATTTGGCCAAAAACCGGGTACCCGAAAATTCGGGTACCTCAAAAAATATACCCGCTAACCGAACCGGTTTTAAACTATCCGGTTTTGCGGGTACCCGAAAATTCGGGTCAAAAAACCGGGTAAACGATTTTGGTACCCGAATTTTATATTGCTTGGTTACAAAATTTTTAAAAAGATTTCAAATATTAATTAACCAAAAAGAAAAAGGTTTTAACATGTAAAAATAGATTGAAATTTTAACAATTTAATTAAGCTCCAAAAGAGCTAATGAGAGAATCTCAAAAAGCCGTAAATTAATTTATTTAAAATCCTACAAGCCTTCTTAAATACAACCAAATAATTCAATGGTGTTAATGTTTATGACTTTAATAAGCTTTTCTTACTAATAAATAAACTCTTAGATAAGTTGTTTCATTGTAACAACTCAACTGGATATTTCGGCTTCAAATATATATTAATTTATGAGAAAATATATATTTACATGGGGTTTATGAATTATGATTGTGTCAAAATTGGGACTTGCCCACAACTAGTATCATTAGTTAAATATATTCCAAAGGATATAGAAATGTACAACTTAGTATCAAATATGTAATTATTTATGAGAAAATACACATCTAATCATATATATTCAAAGGATATAGAAATGTAAAACTTAAATCTTATTCATGTAGTATCATTAGTTGCCAGAACATCAAATTTTAATTAATGCCTTCAATACTTAAGATTTAATATACACCAAATCAATGTAATACTCTATATCCTTCATCTAAATCTCCAAGTTCAGATCTCTCCCTTTTCAAAGTATTATTATGCTCAATCTCCCACAGGGTTTGATAAAAACTGAATAAAAATTCTGCCATAACTAAGAGGTATACCTACAATAATTTTGAGAGACTCAAGTTTATAGATATATTCAAGCCGAAGAACTAAAAAGAGAGTGAAAGTGCTTTAATAAAGCTAAAATTTTCTGGACACTTTTGTGTATGAACAAAGGAGAAAAAGAAAAGAACACTACCGTATAGATATTTTGTTCAGCTTTGTATACTGAAATCTTTTCCATCAAATTTGTTTCTAAGTTTTCAGGATATACTTCAGATACTTCCAAGTTAATTAACATAACACAAGTTAAAAGAAAACATTAAGTTAAAAAAACAAACTACTGTAAATATAAAATAACATCAGATTAACAATAACAAACATTAATTTACTCTCTCTCTAACTTTAAGTTCTGAATAGTTGCAGAATATTAGGCAGGTCGGCTTGGTGGTGGCTACTGGTGGTATCGGTGTCTCGGTGATAGATCTGACAAGAAATGTAGCTAGAAACTTGGTTAGAAACTTGTAGAATTAAAGAGAAAAAAAGCAGAATTTTACCTGGTTAGAAAATAGAAACTTGTAGGTCGACAGCAGCTTCAAGTAGGAGACTCTGCTGGTGGCACTTGGCAGCGACAGTCGGTGACCGGATTAGTGAAAGAAGCGGATATTGGTAGTCTGGTAGGAAGCAAAGCTGCAGGACTTGAGTGCTGGAATGGAAGAGAGTGAAGAGACGAAATGAGTCAACTGACGAGTGACGAGAGTGGAAGATTGAGACAGTGAGACTGGAACTCTGGAAGTTTACACAGTAAAGAGGGGAGATTGGAGACTGGAGAGTGACATCTGGGTTTTAGTTTTGTTTAGGGCATTTGAAATTTTCAGTTTGGCATTTGGGGATTTTTTTGCACAGACGAGTCACGAGTTTGTTAATCTGTTTTTTTTTTTTTTTTTTTTTTTAAATAAAAACCGGTTACCGGATACCCGGTTTTAAAAATTAAAAACCGATACCCGAACCGAAAATTCGGGTACCTTCTAAAAACTACCCGAAACCGACCCGAATTTTCGGGTACCCGAAAATTCGGGTTCGGTTCGATCGGTTACCGTATTCGGTTCGGTTATCGGTTTTTTTTGCACACGCATTTCATGACTCGATTTATACCTGTCTATTTTAACTCCATTTTTGGATCCGATCATAGAGTAATTTTCCTGTTCAAGTAAATGGTAAGGATGTGCTGAAATAACCATATGGTTACAATCAATTAGACTTTTGGATATATATTTAAAATGTCTTAAGTTCAATTTATGGTTGTAATAGCGGTGGTCAAAATTTATCTGGCTGTCAACTTTAGGGTTTTAGAAATTAGTTGAGGTGTACACAAACTAATCCGAACTCCAGTCATAAAAAAAAAAAAAAAGGGAGGGGGGATATGTGAAAAAAAAATTAATTGAGGTATAGGTAATATGTTTTTCCCTGAATACATTTGGCAACTGAGGAACTTCTTCCTGAAATTTGGTTGCATAAAAATTTGCTCTCTGCAGGGTTTAAGTAAGTGGCTGGAGATATATCTTCTTTGATCAATCTATTGGATAGAAGAACCTGAATAATAAAACACCTCGGAGCAATCCTCTTCTCTAAGCTGAAGAAGAGAACACAGTTGGCCATCCAATGTGGATGCCTTCTAAATGCAGCAAGAATCTCAATCTTGGATCAACCCCACCTCTTATAAACCTCAAGTTTAGATTGCCAGACCGATTCCTTCATTTGGTTAAGCGCTTCAACTGCCAGAACAAACGAAGTTTTGGTGGAATTGAATCCCATATCCTTAACCTCATTGACAATTTTGCAAAATTTACAGCATGCTGGAGATGGACTGTTAGTCACGAAATAAGAAATCCGAAATTGAGGCACCGCAGTATCGTTCGAAAGGGCTATATTTGGAGCAAAATCTCTACTCCTGAAATCTTGTAAAAATACCAATCGCCTACTTTTTCATCCTGAAGACATGAACTTACAACATTCTTGAGGGAATTGTAATTGGGAACAAGAAGACTCTTTAAACTCCTATAGTTAACAGACCTGGACAGATAGCTATGATCTTTACAAGTTCATTACTTGAAACCCCTATAGAACGGAAAAATTCAATCTTGGGCAAAAGGGTTTTTTCAGCATCATAAGAAATGAGTTTTTCAGAAATGTGGGTGTTACTAAAACCATGGCTACTGAGAAGCCTAAGAACTGAGTTTGCTCTTTTTGTGTTTAACAACTTTTTTTGTGAACGACAACATTTTTTTTATTTACCAAGAGTGTCCAGGCTAGTTTGCACACACCCATTTTTTTTAACATCGGGGTGTCTGAGCTAGTTTACACATACCATAATCTCTCAAGGATTTATCACCGGGGTGTCTGAACCTGTTTGCACGCACCTCAACTAATCCCCCGAAACCCTGAAAATCTGATCTAGTAATCCTTCCGTGACAACCTCCTTTTGTTCTTTTATCATCAGGTAACCCAATGTGTTCTTTTATCATCAGGTCACCCAATGGTGGTTGTAAACAACAACATTCTTGAGGAAATTGTCATTGGGAACAAGAAGACTCTTCCTGGACAGATAGCTATGATATTTAAAAGTTCATTACTTGAAACCCCTATAGAACGGAAAAATTCAATCTTGGGCAAAAGAGTTTTTCAGCATCATAAGAAATGAGTTCTTTAGAGATGTGGGGGTTACTAAAACCATGGCTACTGAGAAGCCTAAGAACTGAGTCCACTCTTTCTGTGTTCTTCAATTTAGGATTCTTAGAAACAGAAATAGCAGATTCTAAAGACAACCCACCCACATGATTTTATCAAGTATGTGACCGTCAATGACTGATTTTGTTCATTTTGATTAGCTGATGAAAGAGACCTAACAATCAAAAATGTGTTTTGAGAAAAACCCAGATGAGTTGTTGAGTTGATGAGAGACAAATGTGTTCTTCTACACAGAAAACGAAACATAATGAACTTTGTACTTACTTCGCTAAACTTTCTTCAATTCTGAGACACCGATGTTGAGGCAGTTGAGCTATGGCGCAGGCTTTTGAATTGAAGGAACCATAACATAAATGAACCCAAGACCGTTGAAGATCTACAGACTTCAATGACATTTCCCAACTTGTCGCATGATCATATCCCATTTGGATTCTCTAAATAACTTAATGAGAAGGAAATCTTTCAACTAAATATTTTTTATATTCGATTAATTTATAGCCTTTCCTGGAGTGATTGAAAGAAATGCTATAACATGAAACTTGAAATATAGCCTAGCCTTTGAGAAAGCACACAAAGCTGCCAGATACTTTCATGAATATACACTAGAACCCACAAGAGAGTAACCATGTTATGCTTGAAAGAATGCAATCAGCACCGGAACTGCCGGAATATTTGTGAAATGAATCCCAAAGTGACAAGAAAGCACGTATAATGCAAAGTAGACATAAAGAATGATGATGTATTCAAAGGTATGAATCTTTCAAAAAAGCTTGAAGTCAAGTATGGTAGGTACAATAATGGCTGATATGAAAACTTGTACATGAAGAAAGTGAAAATGTAATCTCAAGGCTGAGACTTATGGTCCCAGACATAATTATACATTCTATACATGAATAAAAACAATTTTGACTCCTGCCGAGCTGTTGCGTCTACCTATATGAATTGACTTGTAATGGAGTAACTTGCTTATTTGTCAGGCTGGACAACTAAATCGAAGTCACACAATATCTAGATTTTACCTCAAGAATTCATATAGCAGTTAATATAGTCCCACTTAAGTGCTCTGTCTGTCCATCACATCACACGACTTTGAAACTAGCCACTAATGCCATCAGATTGCTTGGAGACAGATGATTCAACTATTTCTGGAACTCGATCAAGCAAGCGATTCATTTCATCCGGAAAATCTCCCTTGGCTCTATTAGTCTTTCCTCCAACAACAACGGTAGTTCCATCTTGTAAGGCCCATATCTTTAGGTTGACCAGAGAAGAAAACAAAGAACACAAACATCAAATGAAGAAACAAATTCATCGCCAAATTCTATATTGAAACAGATATAGCCAAATTCATAATGTAAAGAAATTTTACCTGCGAATGAGATAAGTAACTGATGCAAGTTGTGAGCATTAGAGCACCAAAACCAGCGTACACAATTGGCACTCCTGGGTCAGTCTGAAATAACAAGCTTTAGTTCCAATTTATAAACCTAAAATAATGAATAACAATTGCACGTTGTTGTGTACAATATTTCAAGTCCTCACCTTCAGGTCAAGACCAGTACTCCCTATAGCATCTACAATGACAATTTTTGAGCCATCAACCTCAATTGGAAGCTTAGAGTTAGGTCGTCGGATTCCAACAAAATTCCCTTCTTGATCATATATGACAATTGATTGAAGATCACGAGCAAGCATGGATCTAAAATGGAAAATGAAGAGGCAAATATAAAGAACCAGGAGGGGTGGAGTTGGCAGAAGAAGAGCGAAGGAAATAATTGATGACAATTAATTCTAGGCTAACAGAAACTTGACAAACCAGATCATTTAAAATACCCAGAAATCCTATTTAGTTAATGAGACAGTTTAACAAATTCTATCCTCTATGAAAAATCCAAAACACTTGTAACAACATAAAATTTCCTGCCATAAAACCACATGCTAAAGTAATTATATAAAATACATAGTAGCCATTTTCAGTTTTTCTTCTATGGGAGGTCATGATTTGTTGTAATGTCCTCTTTGAAAGTGTTTCGTAATGACTACAACATTAAAAGAAAATTCTGTGCTAAAAAAATAACAAGTAATGACTCAGCATACATTAGTTGAAAGAATGGGCCGTATAGGCTCCCAAAGTCAGCAAAAATCCTAAACTAATCCTTTAGTTTTCCAGTAAGAGTTTACGGAAAGACAAGGGAATATCATATCTGTAAATTCCTGTCTACATAACTTAGTATATACAGGGAATAAGTGCAAGAAGTACATACATTCCTTTGACATTTGAAGAATTGACATCTCCAACAGGTAAGAAGGTCCCGTAAAGTTTCTTGTCTCCGTTGACCTTTAGAGGGGCCATAGCCAGATTGAAAGGTCCTTCATCATCCTTAAGTATCTGTAGTGCTGAAAAACTCCAATCTGTCTGATACATAGTGATCCCACCATATCTTAAAGGGTCATTTACACTAATTGTTTTCCTCATCACCTCCTTCCCACCAAGATCAAATAGAGAAAGATCAGTGTGAAACTGCTTCACCTATAACATAAACCAGAGAAAAAACTCAGAAATGAAGAAAAATGTCAATCTCTTTTAAGCATTTTAAGCCATAAAAACTGAGACGAAATGCACTTGATAAAAGAGATAGTTTAATGTACAAATCACTGTGAGTAGGCTTAGGACATCTACCCTATGGTAGATACATATACTCTCACTTGTACAATTTCTTTGCTTTAACTGTTATCTTTTTCAGGAAAAATATATAAATGTAAGTTGAAAAGCAAATATCCTTAAAGATTTTGAACATATGAAATATTTGATACAAATCAATTCCAACTCATATCATAAGGTTCCCTCCCCTCATATGGGTTGTTAGAGAAAACAAAATTGACCTACCTCTCCACTGTCATAGTAGTCCATGTAGAATTTGTTGACATGAACCTCGGTGTTGAAAGAATCAATTGGAGTAGACAGAAACCCCATTGGGCCTAAGACATCACCCATAACAAAATTAAGCCCCTGTGGAACCGTAACTGAACCTCTGAAGCTCCCAGTTGCGCTAAGAGTTCCACCTGCCATTATCAGCAGCATCGCTATGTGCACTCCAATAGGGGCAAATCGACCAACCAGCCCTTTGAAGGCATATAAGAATGGTCCTTTCAAGAATACCTATATTCATCCAACAATCATACTGAGTAGAAAGCCTTTCATATAGAGTAACACCCCACGAGGAATAAAAAATGATACAGAAGATGACTAACAAATAAAAATTTAGGATGAAGTAAAAACATATTTAACCAATTTGTTTCACATGACAATTCATATCAACTAAAGAACACAAAGTAAAGGAGCAGACCTCATATCCAGCTCCCATAAGAATAACACCCAAATCTTGAATAGATGCTCTTGGCAGAGAGTCCGAAAATTCCTGCTTCCGGATAGCCTCAGCTGATTGTAAAAATTTCCATCTGCATATATATTCAAATAGTTGTATTAACAAAAAGCTTCTCCAACAGATTTCCGGTCAGAGAGTACATAATTATGGCAGAAAAATCAGACCTTCTTGCAACCTTAACGAGGGGAATCTGTGTGGTGTAAGTGCAGGACATGAGTGATAATCCCATGAGAACCAACAATCCCAGAAAAATGGGTGATGAGAACATGTGATCAAATCCAAGTGTGAGAACCCATCTCCAAGTGAAGAATCCCAACACAGGATTATCTTCAGGGTACTTATTGAAGTAGAATTCCGGTGTCTCGCCTTGTTCAATCACAGTACCTGCAAATGCAATGCATTACACACACAAAACAATTTTTCCAAAAACAATGCAACAGATACAATTTTCAAAGAACATTAAACAGCCAGTGAAGCTAGATTTGAACAGGCAACTATAGCTGTAAATTTCAATTCCAATTTCAATTTATAATAATAAGGTCTTGAACACAGTGCTTTTAGATCGTCTTTTCTATACACAGTTCACTAATCCCAATCAAACCATTGAACACAAATGAGAGAAGTAAAACCAAAAACAAAAAGAATAAAAAAACTATAAGGCCACATACCAATAGCCATAAGACCAGCAATAGCAAACATCTCTCCAATGGCCAAAGGCAAATTAGAGAAAACAGCCAACACCCTTCTAGGCAACCTCTTAACCAACCCAAAAACTCCTCTCGTTCTCTCAACTTTCCCCAAAGCTTCCTCATTTTTCAACGGCGGTGGCTGTGTATCCGACAACACAATCTTCTTGGATACATTCTCGTTTTTCTTTTTGACATCTTGAGAAGTCTTGAGCTTGCAAGAAATGGAGAAAGAAAGAGATGGTTTTTTAAACAGAGTGTAAACTTGGGGGTTGAATGTAGAGTAGTGAAGTAAAGGAGCACTGAGGAAGTGGGTTCTGTGTAGAGATGAGTTTAGAGTTTCCATTAATGGAGAGCTTCGAGTTTTGGAACTAACTGTGCTGTGTTGTGTCGTGTAATAACGACCATTGCTGTTAGTTTATCCTTCAAGGACAAAGTGAGATATTTGTTGGTGTGGCTTTTGTATGGATAATTTAATAAAATGGTAAATTTCAGAAACCATCCTCGGCTCTTAAAAATTATTGGACCCCATAAAGTTTTGATACCCTGAAAGTTCATATATCATTACACTATACTAAAATATTTTTACAAATTTATTAATTTTAGAATCTAGATATCCTCATTATTAAGTATAATTGATCACATAAAAAAAAAAAATAAATAAAAAGAAAATGGATAAAAGAATCACATCATACAAGTTTTTTTTTTTCTTTTTTTTGATAACCGAAGTATCTGGGCTAGTTTACGCACACCTCAACTAATCTTTGAAGCCCATTGAACACCTTACAAACCTAATGTTTTAGGTAAACCACAAATGTGGTAGGTGACCCTAGGTTTGAATCCAAGAAGTCAATGAAGGGAGTAAACCTTCTTGACCATCAGACCAATCTCTTGGGATTATATCACAGAAAAAATAAATAATATCAGCAGGAGGGGTGCTCTTTGATTAAATTTCACAATTTGAGGGTGTTTCATGAATACCTTAAACTTAGAACATGCGTAATAATTTATGATACTAAAGAAGACTTTAATTGATCAAATTATAGACGACATGTCGTCCAAAACATAGAAGACGTGTTGTCTTGTCTGCTGAATTCTAACTCTTTGGACGAGAAGTCGTTGAATAGTCGTAGCTCTGTGGATATTCCAAGTCCTCAAGGTTTTCCGTAATTATTTTAGATCCAAAGGTTAAAGAAACTAACAAATGCGTCCTATTGGTGAACTTCTTACAATCCTATTTATCTTCCAAAGACTATCTAAATAACGACCACACAAAACCACTTCAGCAATGCTTTTCTCTCTTCATCTTCCTACAGTCTCCTGCTCTTACTCCAATACCTCAAATCTGAACTCTTTCTCTTCATCTTCCTCGTATCAAAACCCTTCTCTGTACCTGAAATTCAGAACCTCGCACCGCGAAAATCTCCGGTACCTCAAAGCCATAGGCGTGATTGATCCCAACACAAAGCCTCACAAGCTTCCTTCTCCAGATGTTGTCACACACCTCTTTTCAATCATACACTTCCTCAAATCCAAAGGCATTCTCGATACCGACTTGTCGCGTATAGCATACTTATGCCCTCAGCTTTTCACCATCAACTTCGACCCTTCTGAGATCGAACCTGTTTTCGAATTCTTGATCTCAAACTTACAAGCTACGGTTCCAGAAAGGCGCGGATTGATAGTGAACTGCCCTTACATTCTTCTTTCAGACGTGGAATATTGTCTACAGCCAACTCTCAACTATCTAAGGCAAGTTGGGGTGAAGAAACTGAATGTGGCCAGTAAACTGAATGCACATCTTTTGAACACAAGAGTGGAGAAGTTACGGAAGACGTTGAAGTTCTTGAAAAGCACAGGGATGAGTCATGGAGAGGCGGCGGAATTTTGCAGGAGAATGCCGGCCATTTTTGGGTATGATATTGAGGATAACTTGAGGGTTAAGTTTGAGTTTTTGGTGGAGGAGATGGGGAGGAGTTTGGAGGAGTTGAAGGAGTTTCCTCAGTATTTTGCCTTTAGTTTGGGGGAAAGAATTGCTCCAAGACATTGGCATTTGAAGCAGAGAAATGTTCATATTAAGTTGAATAGAATGTTGCTGTGGAGTGATAACAGGTTCTATGCCAAATGGAAGTAAAATTTTGTTTCTTTTCTACGCTCTACATATAATGAAAACTTTGGATAGGTTATTTAGAATACCATTCTACGCTATTTAATATTTTTGGAAAATATGATAGGATTTTAATAAGTTTTTTTTTTTTTAATATTTTTTAATAACATTTTCTAAAAATATTTAGATTATTTTAATTTTATAAGTTTGTTAATTTAACTAAACACTTCAATAATAATAATTTATAAATTAATAAAAACACCCTCACTCACTCACATATTACCAACAATCCACCGCCACCACTAGAAGGTGACCAAAATCTATCAGAATTGCACACGACCAACTAAATCTAGCTGGTCATGTGCTGATCTGACATTTTTCGACTGGATCCACTGTGGATCTGGCTGTGAAAAGCCAGATCTACAGTCACAAATATGGCCGTCGTTTGATCGTCAATAATAGCCAAGATATGGTCGTCGTCGAACGACCATATCTGACTAGATCTAGCCATCAACGGCCACACCTTTGACCATAGATCTAACATCTAGAAAATGTTAGATCAACGCACGACCGATCAAATCCAACCTGTCATGCACCATTACAACAAATTTCGACCACATTTTGATAATGATAGCTGACTACCAACAATATGTGAGTGGATGTGAGTGTTTTTATCAATTTATAAATTTTTATTACCGGGAGTGTTTAATTAAATTAACAAACCTACGAAGTTAAAAATAATCTACATATTTTGAGTTTAATAGAATATGATTAGATTTTGAGAATATTAAAACAAATGCATTTTTTTAGTATTTAGGATAAGATAGTAATAGTGTGCCAACCCGATCCTAAGATCCATTTTCAATTTCTTTAAATCTAAATCAAAGTTGGTAAAAAATTGAATCCTATAAAACGAGGCGATAAATGAATCTGGGTCTAAAATCTAAATAAAAAAGGTCCTAATCGCGGTGTTACAGTCGTATACCAGGCACGCTATTCCTCTATTCATTAATCCTTCATGCAACGCATTGTGTCCTTTGTATATCCTGCTGAAATAAAGACACTAGTATCTGATCAAACTCAGCCACCACGTACCGATCTCCATCTCAACAATCTGTGCTGGACTCGGATCAGTTTCCGATCCTGCAAAACGGGAAAAACAGAAAGGCGGTGTTAAATATAAAGTCTATAGTTTCGATTAGGCTCCAAGGTAAGTATGTTTTGTTCAAGCATGCATTTTAATGAGTTACCTGAGGCTGAGAAAAAGAATTGTCCACCATGACTAACTGAATCAACTCTGTTTTGTTATTAGTTCAATGTCAGCTCCAACTTCAGCGATCTTCGATTCTTTAGAAGCCTTTGCGACTTTGGCAATATTTCCAANTGCTGAAATAAAGACACTAGTATCTGATCAAACTCAGCCACCACTTACCGGTCTCCATCTCAACAATCTGTGCTGGACTCGGATCAGTTTCCGATCCTGCAAAACGGGAAAAAAAGAAAGGCGGTGTTACATATAAAGTCTGTAGTTTCGATTAGGCTCCAAGGTAAGTATGTTTTGTTCAGGCATGCATTTTAATGAGTTACCTGAGGCTGAGAAAAAGAATTGTCCACCATGACTAACAGATTCAACTCTGTTTGGTTAATAGTTCAATGTCAGCTCCAACTTCAGCGATCTTCGATTCTTTAGAAGCCTTTGCGACTTTGGCAATATTTCCAACATCGAAGTCCAGTGCTATTCTTTTCACGAGACCTTCGAGCATCTATTTTAGGAATTACAGGAAAAACATTACTAATCAATATAATACGCAGTTCTCCATAGATATAATCAAGAGGAACCCAATCCAAATACATTTTATAAACAACTTAATATAGTTTATTTTTTAAAGTGGCCATCACTGTTGAGCTCATATATAAATATAAGTTACAGGAACATACTAGCGATCCAATGGCAACTAAAGCCCGGAATTTCGAATCAACTTCTATGTTCTCCTCTTCAGCAATCTGAGGGTAAAAAAGGTGAGGAGCAAAGTTAATGAAATCCAATCTCTGAAACCCTACTGTTGAAAATGTATAGTTTCAACTTAAAATGGGAAGTGAAATTGCATCTCCATGCTCTTGATCAAAAAATTTGGGAAGAAGGATTAAATCAGAAAATAAAGTTGAAAAAACATGCATTCGGAAATATAAAGGGAAATATAATAAGAGAATAAGACTTGCCACAAGAGCTGCTGAAAGAACATGAGATTGACCTTCTTGATCTTTCTTTTCAATTAACAGCACTGCATAACTGTGAGGTATAGAAACAACAGTGTAGACCATGGTAAGCTAATAACACGTGAAAAACCAATGGGATCAATTAATGAAATTATAAGAACGAAAATATTCAGAAAAGATGGGTATATCTCAAAGAGAATGCTTACTTGAGTATCAAAGTGGAATAAGACAACTGCAAATTCTTATTGGGAGATGAAGAGCAGCTTGAAAATGCATCAAGAATCTGCATGATTAAAAAACAAAAACAAAAACTAAATAGAGATCAGTTGTATCAGAACAAGTTAAACTGAAACCCAAAATCTGAATGGAAGACCTGCTCAGAATGAAAAGACGTACAGTCCCTACAGTGAAAATTATTTATGATATAAGTATTTTGAAGACATTTTTTTTTTTTTTTTTTTGGCTGAGTTATATAATTTCTCTAGTCTCTCAAGACCTCTACAAGTCAAACTCAGAAGCAATCATTACCACCTTTGTAGATATAATATAAACTCCAAACATACTAATAGAAAAGGGATGCATACCTCACTGCGATGCTTTTGTAGCCAGTTGTAGTAGGACGAATTCCTGAACAGATTAGTCACAGCACGGATGCTGGTTAAAAGATTTGCAGGAAGTGCAGGAGTTGCGGCGACTTTGTTAATCATTTCAATTAGCACATCTGGTTAGAGATAAATAGTTTTAAGAGTAAATATACTAGCACATATATTACATAACTAAAATGTTTCATAAAATTACAAACAAAATCAATTTTCAGAGTAAAGGCAAACGAATTATGAGGTAAATCACTAGGTTCAATACCATTTGGATTTTCAACACACTTGAGAAGTACCCTTGCCCCATCAGGATGCAGGACAGTCACTCTTAGAATATCAATAACTGCACAGGTAGAAGGCACAAATTTAACAGAGGGACCAAAATTAATGCCTAAAAAACAAAACAGATCAGACTGTATTGACAGGCAACAAGCTTAGAAAAGTCACTTTATACTCCAAAAAATATGAAGCTGGAACAGACTGACTGCATCATGAAGTCAGTAACACAGTAAAAAACTCATCTGAAGAAGCACCGACTAATAACTTTAAATTTTAATACACTGACCTGGAAATATCATTTCCACTGGCCATGTTTTTAGCAACTTCAGCAACAAAGAAATGTCAACATCAGCAAAACTACTAGAATGGTAGTGTGATGTGTCCTTCAAAATTTTAACAATAGCCACTAGTCGGGACATCTCGAGCTCTGTCAGGGACAAGTTCTTTTTTTCCTTCAAAAGATTGTCAATCAGATCATTTTACAGGAAAATAAAAAGAAAAAGAAAAGAGAACAACAATGACAAAAACAGAAAACTCATGAAAAAAGATACAAAATGGAAAAGTAAACTTGAAAGAAAATTTCAAATATACAAAGAACCTACCACATCAGTTAATAAAGTATTGTTGAACTCGGTAATCTTTTTAAGGATCCCATCAAACTGAGCAGCATCAAAAACAAGCATTCCTTTCTGGAGAACCAAAGATTAAATATGAATAGAAGAAGAGAGAATAGACAAACCTGGATACCCAAATAAGTTGATAGATATGGACATAAAATATATCAACACAAGTGATTCCAATAAAATCCAATCCTCAAATCGAATGAGCAAATAACTGAGATTTGCATCTGGATAACAAATGCTAAAATGGATCTGTGACTAACAGAACTTCTGTTAGATACAGGGGTGAGAACCTTTAACCTCATCAACAAAACTCATCTAAACCTAGATTTCAACTATGTTGATCTGGCTAAAGAACACACACAACTTTCAATACAGCATACATGCAGATACACTGACACATACACATAGAAAACATGTTGTATTTCAGGATTTAACGACAAAACAGTAAGAAAAGTGTATGCAATCATCTCATAGTGCAATTAGATTCACACATAATGAGCTTGTTATATACAAAGAATAATAGCTATAGAGAAAACCTATGGTTTATCACAAGGGGGGCTTGCACCTTCCAATTGTATGAGGAATCATATTTAGTAAGTCAAATGTTTCTGGGTTGAAGATTTATTGATTATACATATAAAGGATACATGGACATAGTAATAATCCCTCAAATGCTTTTTAATACAAGCTTTGCTAACCATAAGATATAAGGAAACCTGTCACGAAAATTCATACCAAAACATGCATCCCAGACCTTTGACTGACAAATCACAGATCTTGTTGATAAAAAGCTGTGGGAAAATACCTTTGGGATATGCTTGAAGGTAGGTTTTGCTGGCATAGCTGTAACATATAAAATATCATGAACTATATTAGAGCTCATAAAGGAGAGTAATGTTAGAGATATGAAGAAAACTAATAATAGCATCCAATGCATAATGAAAAAAAGTAGAATTTTCTTTTTCCATATACATACATACATACCAGACATACTAGAAGGTTGTCCAGGTACATAAGCACTTGCTGGAATGACAAACAAATCCATATTAACCAACTGAAAATGCAGCAAATGACTATAACCTCCAAAGTTCATTCAAGGAACCAAATCCCCAATTTACTTACAGCCAGTGTAAGGATCACGAAATGATGGATTGATATTGAAGTCCTTTTGGCCAGTATTTTGCAGTATAAACTCTACAATTTGCTGTCGGTAGGAAAGAGGGAGGTTCTCCTTGAGAAGCCACTTATCAGCAGTATCATAAGGATTATCTGGAAATTCAATAATTATTTATTTGATTAACAAAGACATACATAATTCATTTCAGTAAGCAATATATTAAATCACAACACTCCAATATAGAGTATTTTGTAAGGGATGGGCAAAGGGTGCTTGAAGATCCAGAACCATACTTAAAACAGAAAATATTAAAAGGAAAGTAGGATGATAACATAAAGTGCTATGTAGAGATTGTTTACTTAATGCAAGCCAAAAACTAGAATAACATCACCAAAGTCAGAACCCTAAACAAATAAACAAACATAACCACATACAAGAGGAGAGATGTCATGGAGTGGAAATATAGAGCACAATTAGATTTGAACAAGAACGAAAATCAGGCCAGCAGAATGAAAAATAGAAACTCAACACCAGATGTGCCAAATCTCTGAGGAAACTCAGCAACCATGGTCAGAGGAAAATCAAAATCTGAATTTTCACTAGTAATGAAGCAAGCTACCATCATATTATATAACATCTGAAATATAAATCAAACACTAAATCCTGAAATAATTAAAAAAAGCAATGTTATAGCGCGAATCCAAGACTACTTCTAGCATAAATAAAAATTTGTCATACAAAATCCTAATTGTCCCATGTCTCAAATTCTAAACAAAAGTACTTTGTATCAATAGCAATTGCAAAGGAAAACTTTGTTTCAAACCAATTTCCAGTAGATCAGTTTTCTGAAAAGCAGCATAATAATATGGACCGGAAAGACTGACAAGCTTAGGACAAGAAGAGAAATAGGTTCTTGGGGTAACAACAAAAGATCCATGCCCACTAACTTTGGGGTGAGGAGAGATGAATGAATATGTAATGGCTATCAAATAAATAAATGGAATATAAGACTAAGAACAACAAACATACCTGAGCGGTTGTAAGGCAACTTACGGATAGGCTCCCCATCTCCAATATCAACATCAAAAACTGTAACAAAAAGAACATGATTTACAATTAAAAATATATAAAAAACAAAAATTAAAATTAAAACAAGAAGCTTCCAAGAAAAGTAAAATAATAACCGTAATCATATTGAGTTCCATCATGAATAGGCCGGTTCATGCCTTCATCTGGTCCATCAACAACCTCGCCAATCTAAAAGTTGAAGTAATAACCAATTATAAACATCACTACCAAGAAAGCAATAGCAATATGCAGCATTTAAAAAGGAAAAGAAACTCAATATGTAAAAGTACAAATAATGAGAGAGAAAAAAGAATTGAACAGTGAAAGAAGTCACATAAAGAATAATATGATGATGAAAATAGATAAAACAGACTAGATGAAAATGGAGATTACTTTATCCCATTTCTGTTCTCTTCTATTCCACGAGTATGCTACACCATTGTCCCCTTCTCTGACAATTTTCGTCTGGCCATTACTGGTTCCTGATAAAAACATATACTGAACAATGCATAACAACATCTTGCAACAATTTTAACAAGATAATATTCTCAAACTTCGCTAACTGAACTTCGCAGACATTGATTAATCAGAATATATACATCTAAAGATACCGTTCTCTACTACTCACGATAATTGTCATGTCTTGTTTTCTAGATTTACCATCACACCAGAAAACTTTAGCTTGCATTGAAAAATCATATTGATACTATTACAACATATGCAAGTATATTTACATTTTCTTTTATTGGAAAAAGAAGAAAGGTTTCTAACTGAAAGAAAGAGAAAGATCTTTCCAATTTAATAATCCAATATGAGATGGATATCCATCAAGCAACTGAAGCATCATTTAAGACCAAAATAATCAATTGAATAATGTTAACACTGAGTTAAATGATTTAGAGCCACTTAAAAGCAGACCTGGAATCTGCAACGCTTCAAGCCCGGGTAATTCTTCCAATTTCAATCCACCAACCCTCTTCCTAATACAAACAGAAAGGCAAAATACGTGTATCAGGCAAAGCAGCTGGAAACCAGTTTCCAATTCTTAAGTTGATCCAACTGGCAATCACTTGCCAATAGTCACAAAAGCTCAACAATAGATTAGATGAAAGAGAGATATATCTGCATTCAAATATATGTAGATAATTTACTGTAAGACAAAAAGGTAGTGATCCTCCAAATGAAAACACTTTACATTGTTAAAAAAAAAAGTGTCCGAACAGACAATATCAAATACGTTATAGATTATTACTTAAGGATGATCACAAGTAGTTAATCATCAATCTTCAAATTGAATGATGCCCGTATTAAGGTATTATGGCCACTGATAGATGATAATACCTGCTGCGCTTGTATTGAGAAATTTCTGAAGCATAAGCCTCAAGTTCTAGTGAATCTGCAACCTTATCAGGATGTACTGTCCAAACTCGTGTAACTCCATCAGAACATGCTGTCACAAAATCCCCATTTTCCAAAAATTTGGCATCCCAAACACAACCAGGGTGCTCTATGCTCTGAATACAGATTCCATCTGCAACAAGACATGATTCTCCGTGTAAAAAATAACAATTTTCATACATCTAAGCAAGATTTTATGGCAAGAAAAGTTTGGCCTTCGAGGATATAGAAAAAATGATGCCAATTACCAATGTTGAACAACCTGGTGCCTATTAACAATGTTTAATATATAAAATGCTTAAGTAGATCACAATTATGGCACAAAGGAGAACCATAACAGCACAAGAGCATATTACAAGAGAAGCAAGAATATCAAAAGCAATCACCTTTCCAGATCTTTGCAAAACGATCTTCGCTACCACTGACAATTAGTCCAGATGCATGATAATCAACTGAATAGACAATGGCAGTATGGCCAACCATCTCCATTAGTACTTGGCCAGTTAGTGTCCACAATCTGATGGAACTGATGCAAAGGAAACACTGTATTATAATAATATCACTGATATGCAAGACATTAAACAGCTAGTTAAGAAAAATTCAAGTGCAAATTAAAGAAAACTGCTAAGGAAAGCGTCTACTGCCAAATAAATCAACATTTCAAATTATTCAAATTCACAAGAGAACAGCATTTATACCCTCAATTTTCTTCAAGCATCATGCTCTCACTCAAAAACCATGAAGATTTAAATTTTAAATCTGCTTACACTCTTCTTAGATAAGTGTATTATATTGGAAATCATGCACATGATTTGCATTTTTTTTTTCCGTCCTTTTCTCTTAATTTGTCCGCACTAATTCTCTACATTACCTATGCCACCACCAAGACAATCTATGAAGTAAAGAACATTAAAATGAATACTCCAGCAAGAACCATCAATTCTGGGAAATAACAAAATTAAAATAAAAACACTTCTCACCAATCATGTGAAGCAGAAAGAATTCCAACACCAGGCATCACTGCCAAACCTCGAACTGTATCTGCACAAATTAATGAAATGTTTGAGACCCTCTTTTTCCTTTTTTGGTTAATAATGCACCTAAGATAGATAAAACAGTGACCTCATTCTCTAGTGTCAAGATGGTCCTCAAGCTCATAGAATATATGTGTGCATAAGTAAACATATAAGATAATATTAGCCATCTTGCAACAAGACATATTGAATTGATCTTTGATAGGCACATCATAGTAGTGGCAATATATGAAACAGATGCAGTGCTAGCATATTGTTGCACTAATTTGTAACAACATAATGTTTCCATTTGCAAACCACTAGAATATTGTGAACCATATGGCTACAGAAGAAGCTTCTCCCACTCCTGACTTGTGGTAAGAGCAATTACTACCATTCAGTCAATATGAAAAAGAAGCACACTAGCTTTCTAGACAGTTCAAAGATAGAAACAAATAAACATGAACATGTAATAAAAGCTGAATTATCAGGATGTGGTAAATGAGATGGAGGAAAAACCTGTATGCCCAGTAAAAGTGTGTACACATGTCTTTCCTTTCCAAAGTTTCAGTGTTGTGTCACTTGAACCTGAAATGTCGTAGAACATGAAGTCAACACCCAATATGCACTTACAAAATCGTTTAGCTCAAATACTAGATTGCAATTAATCAGAACTTCCATATCAAATTCAGGGGATGCAATTAAGCAGGTTCAATCATATTTGCAGTTTCTAGAAGACCACAGGTGTAGATTCACATCAATTGATCAAGCCTTTAAATTAATGTAAACTGACTTAGTCATATGAGAGTCTATATGATAACGACTGAAGCAATAATTTTGCTCCCTCCCTTGAGTTCCTGAGTTCAAATCTTAGGATCACCTACCACAATAATATTGTTGTTTACCTGGTCCTTTGGGCTTGTAGAGTGTTTAATAGACCTCAGGGATTAGTTGAGGTGCGTGTAAATTGGCCCAGACACCCCGGTTACCGAAAAAAAAAAAAAAAAAAATTATATTGAGAACTTTTGCGTTAAAAAATATTTTAAGTAGAGTTTTAAAAATTTTTTATTTTTATTTTATCATAATAGGAACATTTTGTATCTTGACTGATCTTTTATTATTCTCTAAGTTTTGAAAAACCTAATAAAGGGTTTCTAAGTGGTCAGAGTAAAAGAGGTGAATAAATAAAACTCAAAATAAGGGGAAGAACTCTGCTTTAGGGCTCTCTCTCCTCTCTTTCTGTTCTTACTTCACTTTCTAATGAGTTTCTGGTCGCATCCTACTTCTATTATCCTTTCTGTATATCTATCTCTTCATCTTTATCTCTGAACACTAAAGATAATCTTTCTAATAGATTAACTAAAACAGATTCCTGAGACAATGTGTACAATATAAGAAAAAGAAATTCACATATTGGATAATATCTACTCAAACTTTAATAGCAAAATAATCATCAAGACCTGAAACAAGCTCGCCAGAAGGCATCTTTACAACTGCTTGGATTGGTGCATTATGTGCCTCCCAGAACTCAACAAGTTGGCCATTCCTCCACCGCCTTAAAGTACTGCAGCAGAAAATCCCAGCAACAAAAGAGATCGTATTGTATTAAAACAGCAGTTTAACAATTCAGCATTATCACACACATTTATTATGCACAGTAAGGCAAGTGCGCATTCCACTAAATTTGGGCAAAGAGAACACATAACACAACATTTTCTGTTAATGAACTTCATCCAGCAGAACACTGCTAAAGCTTCCCAAATTTTGTGATATCAGAATCAATATAAGACAGATAGGGAAAAAAAAAGAGTTTATTAAGACTACTAGAAACGACCCCAAAGAGAGAAAAGGAAAATTGTATGACACAAATACAAATCGTCAGAAATGTAAGCTTACCAATCTACAGAGGATGACACAATATCCTCATCATCCAATGCGATACCAGTGACTTGCAACTGATGACCCTTCAACGTCCGCACTTTCTCTCCAGTTCTCAGGTCCCAAACCAAGACCATTGTGTCCATCCCACCTGACACAAGCCCACCTTCCGGATATTCCTCATTTGGTGAAATCCAAGCCAATGGACCAACAAAACTTGTATGCCCCAACAGTAATTTAGAAGAAAGATACATTCGTTTGTCCGAGGCATCTAAAGACCAGAACCTGATAGTTTTATCTCTTGATGAAGTTGCTATACCCACATTGTCACACACACAGATCCTTCGAACCTAATTCATGATACCCAAATTCAATCAATTAATAAAATATACAAATCTCAAGCTATTATCTGAGTGTTTGTACAAACACATCCTGATCGACAAGAAATTCAACTAATGCGATTCCCAATTTTTCATACATACCACAAACCTGATATTCACGCAATCAAATAACTCCGGTTTTAAAGTTTCAAAAACAATGCGGGTATTATTCATAAAGCTCATAATTTTTTACAACAATTTGAATTTAAAAGAACCGCTAATTTGGCAACATTTCGTGTTATTTTTTAGACATATCCAATAAAATAAAGTATATAATTCAAAAAATATCCAATAGGGCGTCTGTTGATGCATCTGAAAATTTATCAATCACCTTGAAAACTTCAATTGGAGCAATTGAAGTCAAAATCCAGAGTCAACTTGATTGATTAAACATTCACATACATGCAAGTGAGTGTTTGATGATTGAGTTGAAATTAAAGTATTCAGATAACTGAGAATTGGTTGACTAATTGCATCGTTATATTTAGATTGTGAATATAAAAATAAAAAAAATAAATAAATAAAGAAGTAAAAGTAGTTAATGAAGATCTTACGTCGTCTTCGTGGCCTCGCAGTTCGCAGCTCAATTGGTATTCCTTGAAATCGATATCCATTACTGAGCTTACAGAGCGAGAGAGATTGAGAAAACACGGGGGGCTTTTAGAGAGACTTAAAATTTAGAATGGCATCGCTTCTTTTCCAAGTTTTTATTTTTTTATTTGTCACTTACAAAAATATCCTAATAATATGTTAAGTCATCTGCATTTTGATAAAGGGTATTTTAGTCATCATGCTAACATTTCAATAAAGTTTGAATGTATGAGAAATGGCTAATGCTATGTGCACTAACCAAAAACCATACAACCCAAGTACTAACTAATGTGATAGACCTCTCTTATTGCTATGTTAGTTCCCCCCAAAAACAAAAAAAGAAAAAAATTTTTCAAAATTTCAACTATTAGTACTTGGATTAATACAAATTGGTTAGTGCACATAGCATTACTCGAAATGAATAATGCTATGTGCACTAACCAAAAACCATACAACCCAAGTCCTAACTGATGTGGTAGACCTCTCTTATTGCCACGTTAGTTCCCCCTAAAAATAAAAAATAAAAATAAATAAAAATTTCAAAATTTCAACTGTTAGTACTTGGATTAGTACAAATTGGTTAGTGCACATAGCATTACTCAAGATAAATATTAGAGTAATACTACACCCACAACCTCTTCTCACAAATTTTCCCTCATAGCAGTTCACAATTGATCAATTGTAATTTATTAGGTGGAACCCAGATATAACTTATTACGAGCTGTTACGTTGAGGTTATGAGAGAAAGTTTATGAAAAGAGGTTGTGAGTGTAATATTATTGGAAATATTAAGGATTGATTGTATCAGCTTGAATTGTCACAGTCTGTCAGCCCACTGGTTCATCAGTCATCAAGTTCAGTTTCATACCTCCTTACTGCTTGTCAGTTTTCAGAAATTTCTCATGCTCCTATCACAGCTATTGGTATAAGTGTTCCACTGATGATGTTCAATCTACTACTATTCTGAATAAGTTTGTAAATTCAAATTTGTGTATGTTATGGCATGCAAGGTTAGGATATCCCAATGTTAGAACCCTTCATGTCATTTTGGACAAACTGAATGTAAAGCACTCTGTGAGCAGAAATAAAAGTTTCTTTTGTGAGGCATGTCAGTTTGGTAAGTTACAACAATGCCAATTCCTTATTTCTCACTCTAGAGCCAAGGATCCTTTAGAGTTAGTTTATTCCGATCTTTGGGGACCAGTTCCAATCAACTCTAGGGAAGGATTCAAGTATTATATCATATTTGTTGATGATTTTGGCCGGTTTACTTGGATTTATCCTTTGAAACTCAAATCTGAAGCTTATGGAGCATTTGTGCAATTTCATTGCTTTGTGGAAAAACAATTAGGTTATAAACTAAAGAGCCTACAAACTGACTGGGGAGGTGAATATAGATCATTTAGTGGTTATTTACAGCAGAATGGTATTTTATTTAGGCATCCATGTCCACATTTACACCAACAAAATGGGAGAGTGGAGAGGAAACATAGGACTATTACAGAATTTGGGTTATCCCTTCTAGCTCATGCTGGTATGCCAATAAATTATTGGTGGGCAGCTTTTAGCACAGCCACATACCTGATAAACAGATTATCGACCTCAGTTCTTGAATCTGCCTTACCATATTCTGTTTTGTTTAAGCAGCAGCCCAACTACACTGAATTGAAGGTTTTTGGCTGCAGTTGTTATCCTTACTTAAGGCTATATCACAGACACAAACTCTCTTATCACACTAAGAAGTGTGCTTTTCTTGGATACAACCTTGCCCGTAAAGGATATTTGTGTTTGGCCTCTACTGGTAGATTGTATATTGCCAAGCAAGTCAAGTTTAATGAGGCAGATTTTCCCTTCAAAAGTGATTTTGGTTCACTCACATTGCATAGGTGTACCTCTCCAGTTGAACTTAGTTTGAACACCTCTAGTAGCTCATGGATCTTACCTCAAAGTGTTCCTGATTGTACAGAATCTACTTCACCTGCAGTTTCATCTAACTCTGCTCCTACTGAACATTATTTCCAACCTGCTTTAACACCCCAATGTGTTCCTGATCCAGAACCTGTTCAACCTGCTGCTTCATCCAACCTTGCTCCAATATCACCATTACAACTTGATTCAGATCCTGTTCAACTTGCTGCTTCATCCAACTCTACTCCAATATCACCATTACAACCTAATTCAGATCCTGTTCAACTTGCTGCGTCATCCAACCTTGCTCCCATATCATCAGTACAACCGGATCAGTCTAATACATTAGTTATAAATACAGATTCAACCTTCTTTGAATCAGACTTCACACATCTTGGCATTAAACTAGAAGTAGTTCTTCCATTGCCCTCTACCTCATCTCTAAACACACATCCCATGATCACCAGGTCAAAGTCAGCCACTTATCCTAATCCTGGTTCCATTGCCTATCAAGCTGAAGTTACTCATACTCCTATTCTTCCAGAACTTAAAACAGTTACTGAAGCATTATTAAGTCCTGAATGGAAACATGCCATGGACTCTAAATATCAAGCTTTGATGATCAATAACACATGGGAGATTGTTCCGTATGAAGAGGAAATGAATGTTGTAGGATGCAAATGTGTGTTTAGAACAAAATTAAACTCTGATGGGACACTTCAGAAGTATAAGGCCAGGTTGGTGGCTAAAGGCTTCCAACAAACACCTGGTCTAAATTATTTCGACACATTTTCTCCTGTTGTTAAAGCAGCCACAATAAGAGTAATGCTATCCTATGCAGTGCACCAAAATTAGGAAATCTAGCAGTTGGATGTTAATAATGCATTCCTGAATGGGGAACTAACTGAAACAGTCTTTATGCTTCCTCCTGAAGGATATTCTGGCACTGTAACAGCCAAGGGTCATCCTGAGCAGGTTTGCAAACTTCATAAAGCCTTGTATGGCCTAAAACAAGCTCTTAGAGCTTGGTTTGATAAGCTCAAATCTGCATTGATCAGTTGGGGTTTTGAAAATTTTGTTTTAGATGTGAGTTTGTTTTTTTACAAAAATGATTCCAAGTTAATGTATTTGTTAGTGTATGTAGATGATATCCTTGTAACAGGGAATGATTCTAAGATCATATCAAGTTTGGTTACTGACTTGAATAGCAAATTTGCTCTAAAAACTCTTGGGACAGTGCAGTACTTCCTGGGGTTTGAGGTAAAGAGAAATGATTCGGGTTTATTGCTGCCCCAGACCAAATATGCACATGATCTTCTTTTAAAGGTAGGAATGGCAGACTCAAAGCCTTGTTCCACCCCCATGGCTACTGGTCTTCGACTTGGAAAGAGGGATAGTAAGGTGTTTGATCAACCTATACTGTATAGAAGTGTCATTAGTGGACTCCAATATCTGACACTATCTCGACCAGACTTGGCTTTTGCTATAAACAAGCCCAACCAATTTTTGTAGCAGCCCACTGAAGCTCATTGGACAACATGTAAACGAATCCTCAGATATGTTAAGGGAACATTGCAACATGGTATTCTCTTTACCAAGAAACAACCCTTTACTTTAGAAGCATTTTTAGATGCTGATTGGGCTGGAGATGAAACTGATAGGAGATCCACCAGTGGGTACAATGTCTTTCTTGGAGGTAACTTGGTCCAATGGTCATCTAGAAAACAAAAGATAGTGTTCTTATCTTCTACAGAATCTGAATACAGATCTCTTAGTCAAACAGCAACTGAACTTGTCTAGATTCAGAACTTATTCAAGGAACTTGGCATTCATATAAACAACACTCCCATCATATGGTGTGATAACATGAGTGCTGGGGCATTATCCTCAAATCCTGTTTTTCATGCCCGAACAAAGCACATCGAAATTGATGTACATTTTGTTAGGGAATTAGTTACAAAAAAGTTGTTAAATGTGCAGTATGTTTCATCTGAATATCAGATAGCTGATATCCTAACTAAAGTCCTCTCTTGTTCATGGTTTATTATGCTAAGAGAGAAGCTAACTATCACATTTGAGCTTGTAACCAGTGTTCACAGTAGCCAGGAGATATAGTTTGTGATGCAGTAGGAGTTTGTAGAAGTATCAGTTAGAGCAGGTTTCTGTAACAGGAGATATGGTTGGGATTTTGCATTAGGATTTTGCAGAAATATTTGTTTGTGATGCAGTAGGAGTTTGTAGTAGAAGATATGGTTTGAAGTTTCTGTAGCAGGAGATATGGTTGGGATTTTGCAGTAGGATTTTTGCAGAAATATTTGTTTGTGATGTAGTAGGAGTTTGCAGTAGAAGATATGGTTTTGAAGTTTCTGCAGCAGGAAATATGGTCTGTGATGCAGTGGGATTGTGTAGTAGGATTTTGCAGAAATATTTGTTTGTGAAGAAATCAGAGTTTGCAGTAGGAGATATGGTTTGAAGTTTCTGCAATAAGAGATATGTAGTCCTCACGTTCAAAAGACCTCAAATGAGAAACTTTGACTTAAGGAATGATATTGATTAGGAAATAGCAATAAAGACAGTTCAGGGGCTTTGGCTTACGGGAAGATATTGATCAATAGAGATTAACTGAGTCAGTTCAGGGGCTTTGGTTTACAGGAAGGTATTGGCAATAAGTATAAGAAACAAGGTTGTTTCTGCAAAGATTAGAAGTTGAGTAGGGTTGTTTTTGTAAAGAAACAAAAGTTGTCACCACCACACGGTGTCTTTTATGAACAATTGTAACAAACTATATAAAGTCATCAGTTACTAATTCTTCAATAACAGAACTCTAGAAACAGATTGAACTGATTTTTCTCTCTTCTCGCTCAATTCATTCACTTTGTTTAATTCTCTTTTCAATTCCGCTATTAATCTTTCAGATTATAATTATTGCTACCATATATTCAATCTATATATATCACCATTTTGTAAACAAAACATTTAATTATTATTAATAAAACAAAAGCTAGTAAAAACATACTAATTCATTCATTCTTAATTGTCTACATATAAGAAACTTATTGGTTCATCTGAATGAACCCTGTTATTAGCTACCTTCAGATTAATATTGCTAATACATACATAATTGAAATTAAAGTCTAGCTTAGTGTAATTGGCTAGCTAGTGAGGTTTCTCCCCAACGTAGTTGCCTGGGGGATTATAGCTACTGTTGAAATTAAGGCCCAAGTCTTTTGGGTTCTTTCTATTAGGACCCATATATTTCTATAACTAAATACTAACCCATGTAATAAACCCATGTATTAGCCCAAAAAGTTAGGCCTTATATCTATAATTAGTCTTGTGAAAAAATCTCATTTATTAGGGTTAAACAAAAGGTTGGGAGTTGGTGTGTGGAAACCTCCCTTGAGCACTATTGAAGGAGGTGACCTCTTGCCATTTTGTACAAGCCAAATTTGGGAAGCAATTGTAATTCTCTCTTCAGTCACTTGCTTCTTTTCCAACAAAGTCATATAAGAGCTATAAAAATCTTGAAGATGGCAAGTGGGATGGTTCCTTTCCAAGTTCTAGTGCTCAACCAAAGCAATTATGATAAGTGGATCATCAAGATGAAGGCACTACCCAAGGTCGTAAGACACATCAGAGAATGTGGAGAAAGGTTACAAGGAGCCAGAAGACAAGATGAGGCTGCCTTATCCTAAGCACAAAGGGATACTCTAAAGGATTCAAGAAAGAGAGACAAGAAAACTATCCTTGCAACCTATCAAGCCCTTGATGATGATGGGGTTGAAAAGATTTCAAATGCAACTATGGCCAATCTTTAAAATGAGAGTTCAAATCTCTCCATATGAAATAATTAAAGGCTATCTCTAGTTATTTTTCAAGAGTTCAAGCAGTTGCTAACCAGCTTAAGAGAAATGGAGAAACGTTGAGTAATATTCGCACAATAGAGAAATTCTCCGCTCTTTAGACTCAAAATTTGAGCACATAGTTGTCACCATATGAGATCTTTGGAAAAAGTTCAAGGTAAGGGAGTGAAATCCTGATACACATTCTTGAGCAAGGACTTTTGATAACCATGCTTTGTTGGAGTTCTTAGTGAAGGATTCTTAAAGAACTAAGCCCCTGTTTGTTACACTATTCTTGATCATTATTTTGTTATCCTATTTGGATTAAAAAAAATAGGATATGTTTGTTTACTTATTGGGCCAATCCAAACTAAAAATTAATCTAACTTAAATAACATTTTTTGTCTAAAAATGAAAAGAGGGTGGGACTTGGTTTTCTGATTATCCAACTTTATTCAACTGAAAACATTTTTCTATCTCTCCTTCTCATTTTTCTCTCCTTCCAATTTGAAAATTAATCCACCCAAGATCACCATCGCCTACCAACAACCATCGCCGATTGACATGGTTGGAACGGTGCACAACCAGTCGGATCTAACCGGTAGTGTGCCGATCTAGCCGAAATTTTTTTGGTCGAGATTTGGTTGTTAACGACGGCCACAACTATCTAGCCATAGATCTGGCTAAAACGGCCGTATCGACGCTTAATCAGCCATATCCAACCGGTCATACGCCGTTCCAGTGATTGCCAGCTGTCATCCAATGGTGGTGGTCAACTGTCGAATGTGCTCTTGGGTGGCTAAGGTGCTTTAGTTAATCTTTAAAATTTTATTATGGAGGTGTTTAACTAAATTAACAAATGTAAGGGGTTAAAAAAGTATAAATCTCTAACCCCAAGAGGTTGGCATAATGGTCAATGAGGTTTGCTTACTTTCTTAAGATTTTAGGTTTAAACTTTGGGACTACCTATCATAATAACATTGTGCTTTACTTGGTCTTTGAACTTGTAGGGTATTTAATAGACGTTAAAGTACTGGTAATAATTTTATTAGGTTTGTTTATGGGCAATAATAATTCTATTGGGTTTACCTATGGCCCAAAAAAATTGACCCACATGTGAAACTGGGTTCATATGCCGAAAACAAATAAACTTTATTCATGATTAAATAAAATTCCGTGCCTTGAGCAAGTCATCGCTTTTCCAAATTCACCCAAGCATTACATGCAGCAATTTGTTTAGCCTCTGGCTAGTTTAATCAAAACCCACATCTCATTACATCAATTTAATCAGGAGGCACATAAGAAATTTTTGACAATGTTGTTGAACAATTGAAGGTTCTCAATTTGGGGCACATGGGACCTTATTAGGGTTCATACTCCTTCAGTTCAGTAGCCCGAACAAGCAGCTAATTGATCAAAGCTTATATAAAAAAAAAATAATCTAAATATTTTTAGAAAATATACCAAACAATTATTTTGTCTTGAAAACATTTTCAAAAAAATATACCAAACAACTATTCAGCATTTTATCCAACTCTAATATAGTTTTCAGATATTTTATCAAATACAATTCATATTCAAATCCAATTTAATTTGATTCAACTCAACTCAACTTAAAACACTTTTTCAGAATAACATTGTTCAAAAAGTATAACTAACAAGTCCTAAGACACTAATATATCATATTGAACTATCATCAAAATACGGTAGAGTTCGATAATAGTTCAATATGATATATTTACATCAATCTTTGAGTTTGTATATTTCATTTGTGCATATATACCTTCAATTATCAAACCAAATCCTTTTTTAGTACTGTCTCCTTCGCTAATATGGAACATACTGAAAACATTTATTTTGGATTCCATTTGAATGAATACTATTTATATATGATCTAATACTAGTAAATTTTATTCTGTTGGATTGGTGAAGTTGTTGGGTTCCTGCCGTCGTCAATTATATGACACTAAGGAAAAATAAATACAATTAAAAGATCCTTTAGCCATCGCATGTTTCAGAACAAGTACAATGAAATTTAGAAATTCATTAATTAAGTTCCTAATTGTTTTGGACTTTGGAGATTAACAAAAGCTCAGGGCTGCGTTTTGAAACTTTGATTATGGAAAGCGTTGAAAATTATATATTGCCAGAAAAGCACGAGTCTACATTCTCTGAACTTTCATTACCGATGAAACTAACCTCCATTAATAAATAAATTATACATTGTATTATACTATTTTATAAGTATTGTATTAATTAATACAATATACATAACATTAAATAATACCGAGTAGATATATTAGATTGTGCTACACATAAAAATGATACAAACTCCATAATTTTTTTTTTATTTCCTTAGAAAAATAAAAGTATTTAATTCTCATTTATATATTTGAAATTATAAAAGAAATGCAAGTAAAAAGTAGATAGTACTTGTACGCTATTGACCATCAAAGTTTGATAAATCGGTGTTTGACAACATCACTAAAAGGATGAATGTAAGTTGATTATTTGGACTTGTGATAATAGTGGACTTTTTAAAAATCAATTTATTAAAAATTAATTAAGAATAATTCTATAACTAAAAAATAGATTATTTTTCGTAGAATAATGATATACCGAATACATCATACCATCCAATCCAATAAAGACATATATAGAACAATACAATATAGTATTGAGGTGCGTACAAATTGGTTCGGACACCCCCGTCATAAAAATAAAATAAAATAAATAAATAAATCTTCATTACATTATATAATGTAGTGAGATCATTAGAATTCTCTTAGGGAAACACGTCTACGAGTTCGGATTTACAACTTATTAATCATCTATTTATAAAATTAGATAAATCTTAGTCATTTATATTTTATACAAGTCTTTCTTAGTCAAGGAAGACATGTAGCTCGCAGTTTAAACTATCCAAAATTTTCATCTTATTGAATCATATTTCTTTCCTTTTTCCTTTCACGTAACGTCTCATATACACGCATTTGATGATCCATGTTACACCTTTTCCAAAAACTGTAATTGCCTTAATCCAATTGAGAACATCGCTCAAGAGCTCTTCACCAGATTCATAATATTTATGAACTTCTGTAACATCTTGTCCAATACCATCAAATTTAATCTTTATTGGATTTCCAGCAATTGGAATTAAGAAGAAGAATAATGATTTTGGTGACTGGGTTCTTCTAGCAACTGATTCAGTTTTCTCTAGGTTTTATTTTGGTGAAGCAAGGCCTGTTTTCGTTGTTGGTTTTGCTGATCTTCTTTTGTATAGACCTTCTAGAGGCTAATTTTTTGGTACATAAGGATTGAATATCCTTGTTCCCCTTTGTTGCTTTTGTGTAGTTTGGTTCCTTGGACTTGTCCGAGGAGCTTGGCTTTTAAAGGGAATCCCCTTCTTTAGGTTGTATTCTTTCATTCATTTATAAATTACCGATGATCCAAAAAAAAAAAAAAAAAAAAAAGAAAGAAAGATGAATTACGATTGTTAATTTAACAAAAGATGTATAATAGTTCATTCATGAATTAAACATTCATTTGCTAGTACAATAGGCTTTATTTATTGAAAATGTTCAATCATCTCTTATTCGGTGACAAATGAGATAGCACTAATTAATTAGTAAGGTTTCTGCCCATTGTAATTGCCTGGGGGAGCATAGTTGCAACCGATGAAAGTTCCGCCATTGTTGCACCTCACCTTGGCGCACCCAATGCGAACCGAGTCGCGCCAAACTACCTGAGTGTAGTGGCCGCAAACCTTGCCTGCAGCACAAGTATTAGAGTTGTAGTCATAATCGGCCTTCTCATCGACCCACATTTTCACAGCATTCGTTCCCGAAAGGTCAGCGCTGCTCCATGCAAGGTTCTCACCGTATTTCCCACCACCACCAGAGTGGACGAGAGCACAATCACCGATACGTTGATTAGCATAGTTTTGTGCAAAGGCAGCTACTGTGTTGTCCCAAGTCACAGGCCCAACACCAACAGATGCACGAGCTGAATTGTGGGCATTGACGTAGTCCTATTGGGAGTTTTGTGCATGGGAGGGGAAGACGAGGGCTAACCCCATGAGACACAAAAGAGAGAGTGCAATTTTGATTGAAACCATTTTGTTTTGCAAGAATTTTGTAATGCAAAGAAAAATTGTTGAGTGATTGATGAAAAAAATGAGAGGATTAGAGGGGTATTTATAGGGGAGAAGGCGTGGAAAATTGTTGAATCCATTTGCTTGATCAAGTGAAATAGGTAAAAAGGAAAAAAATATTAATAATGTCACCTTCAATGAAAGTTTAACGTTTGATAAAATCAACTTCAACGTTTTACTTCCAAGAGGAGCAAATTGATAAACATTGGATTGGATTTTTATAAATGACGTGAAACAGTGTTATGCTTATTTTTCCAAAATAAAATAAATTATATATTATAAAACATTTTATGTTCAAAATATATATGGTCTCTACTAACTTGCTTCTCTTGTTTTATGATTCAGTTTTCACACAATACACCGTTACAATAATCCCATATAGATATATTCTGGTTTATGAAAATTGGATTTTTTTTATTACGGAATTATTGAAAATTTTAAGACCTTAAGGTTATTATAGAGAATGAAATCTAATTAATATTTATTTTAATTTATTAATGTTATCTTGGGATAAATTCATAATCAGAAGATGGCAATAATAAGTCTTATTTTCTACATGTGAGGGGAGGACTTTTCTTCATAATGAAAATAAGACAAAGATACCAAATAATTTTGTAAATTAACCCTAAAATTCTTTATTTATGACTATAATCATGGTCCACATGAGTAACTTTCTTAAGCTGACTAATCATTACCTCCAAAAATTCATTATCATGGACTCGTCAATTGCGTTTTGATGAGGCAATTAAAGAAAGGAATAGCAGACGTCTTCAGCCAACCTTAGACTTTTCCTGTTTTTGATTGGGTCCCAAGCGATGGCTCATTAATTAGCGGACAAAATTTTAGGAATATGGAACATAAATTATGGGGACAGATTGAGCATAAATGTAGGAATATTTTATTAAAAAGGCTTAAGTCAAGAGCATAGATGGACTTGCTGTACATAATTGACTCATAAAAGTTCATATAGAAGAAAACATGTCTATGCAGAATAAGTTACTGATTTTTCTTTGTTGATTTCAATTAGATAAACATTATTTACCATGTATTTATCACGAAAGCTGGTCCAATTTACAATGACATTAGACATCAGTTTTGATTAAGTCAATGTGCCTTAAAAAAGTTAGGAATTTATCCATTGCAATAAAAAATATTGGCTGTAGATATAGTTGGCTTAAAATTTTTACTTCAACCGAGAACATGGAGAGAAAAAGACAAAAAATTAAACAAAAATTAAAAATTTTCTCTTGCTAGTCAAAGGAAAATGAAGAAAGTGGGAATATAAAAAATTTATACAAACGGGATTCTTTCATTTTGATCTATAGTTCCTACCATTGCAACAGGTTGAGGAATAAGCGATGGAGCTAGTCATGGAGTGAAAGAATTAGCATATCATCTTTTTCTTTTTTCCCATATTGATTACTGAATTACACTCTCCTGCACCTTTCCTCGTTCTCACAAAAACAAATATTCTTCTAATTTAACTTATTTTATTTCATAAACATAAAATTCTGCTTCATACAAGATGTAGCCACTTCTAAAACTTCTAATCAATATCGATTAAAACATACATTTTATTATGCTATGCCTCAATAAGGACGATCACCTTCAATATTCCCTGGAGGATAATAACTGCAAATTACAAACCACCATCCATTCTGGCACTTCACCCTCCCACAGCCAAGTTGAGTCGATTTTCGCCAAACAACCTGAGTATAATGCAAACACTCGTCACCAACACAAGAATTTGATGCATAATCATAGTTAGGCTTCTCGCTAACCCACATCTTCACTGCGTCCATTCCATTCAAATTACCATAACCTTCCGCCAAGTTCTCTCCGTAAGGCCCCATGGAATGATCCAAGTCGCAGTCTCCCCTTCTTTGATTGGCGTAATTTTGAGCGTAGGCGGCCACCGAGTAGTTCCAAGTAATCCGACCAACCCCCACATGAGCACGAATCGCATTGTGTGCATTGACGTAGTCTTGGTGGGAGTTTTGTGCTTGAAAAATGTGAGCTAGGGTTAGAGAAATGAAGTAGATAACGATTAAGAAATTATTGAACCTCATATTTTTCATTTTTCCCCTATGGAATGTTAGATTTCAACGTGAAAGAGTCAAGAAGAAGCTTATTATATATATGCAGGCAAACTCATTATATTGCTCAAATGAAGCCTTTGATTGTGCTGTGTTGCCCTAATGACAAGTAAGTAAATGAATTTATTATTATCCAAAAGAGGCTTTTAATCAAATAATGAATGTTGCATCAAAACAAATTAGGATTCACATGCATGCCTAACATGATTATATATTAATTGCTTATGAGCCTGTGATTAAGTTGCCGCAATCTCTACCCTAATAAGCCAAAAGAATGTGATTCACTTTAGAATTTGTAGTATCTGCATGTGTATGGATTAGAACCTGAATTTGGATATTCTAGGATCCGAGCTTTAATTAATTGAAACTTTGAAAGGTTTTATAATTAAGTCAAATTTATTTTTTAAATTATATATTTATATATAAGAGAAAAAAATTAATCTAAAGAACCTACTTTTATGAGTTCTCTTATGTATTTTTATGATGTGAAAACCAATCTTGTCGAGTGAGAGATTAGTCGGGTAAGATATCACTATTACTGATGATTTATTTACTAATTTCTTTGTAGATATACCGATCAATGTCTTGTAAACTAAAAGAAATCCAATTCATGTTCTAGCCAGATACTCATTAATGAGTATTCACTATTTAAGAAAGATTTTATTTTGAGATTTAGTTGTAGATATGAACAGTCAAATTATTAGTCACATCTAATTATGACTATTTGACCATCATTGGGTGAACTAATGATAAAAGAGCAAATGAAGATTTAATATATAGTCTCTCAAGTTTGAGTCTCATAAAAGAGCAAAAGGAGGATCTAACATGTTTTCTTAAGTTCGAGTCTTCTTAATATTAAAAGAGCAAGCCCTGAGTTCAAGTTCCTGCGATTGCTAATAAGGGTGGTCACTAGAGCTCATATCCAGCTAGTAATTCTAATATTTTAGAGAATTAGTTGAGGTGCACGTAAACTGACCTGACACCTCGGATCATAAAAGAAAAATGACTACTTAATATTAAATTTTTTTATATCACTCTTACTTTTATCCACTGACAACTTGATTAATTAGTATATGGTCTATTGCAACTTTGAATGTGACCCACCCTTGTGAATACATAATACATAATTTTTTTCATATTTTACACTCCACATTTCACGGGTCTAAAACAGAAAATTTTAACTTTGCTTTTCAATGTTGATGACTTTTGAGGCCATATATTTTTTTTACGTACTTTAAGCGAAAATGACTTTGCTAGTGAAAATGGGTATGTGTGGTTAAAAAAAAAAAGGTCAAAAATTTGAATTGATGGCGTACAAGTATAATCATGCTTACTTTGTAAATGCATAATTTTTTGAGGTCCAACCACTGTTATGAACTCTGCACAATATTTCCTATATTGTGGACTATTGATTGATTGAACAAAATTTTTATTATACTTTATGAATTAGCATTGCCCTACTAAGTAAAATTTCAAAAAATCCTCTATTTTTACTTAATCCAGGCCTAAAGCCTAGGCAGGCCCGGGCTTGGATTTAGAAAAATTCAGGCCTGGCCGGGCCCAAGGTTTTTACATTATTAGCATATATCTTTTCATTAATTGAATCCAATTTTAAACAGAGTACGTCGTTGAAATTAAAAAAGAGTTATTTAAGCAAAAAGATTTGATTTTAAAATATCAATATTACTAATCCTATTTTCATAAAATTTAATTAATAAAAACAATTATTCTTTTATTAAAATACTCACAGCTCGAAAGAAAATTATGCAGACGTCGACTGGGATAATCTTGGATTCGGTTTAACTACAACTGATTACATGTATATAATGAAATGCTCAATGAAAGAAAACTTTTCACGAGGACATCTTACCAACTATGGCAATATAGAAATCAGCCCTTCTGCTGGAGTCCTAAATTATGGACAGGTAGACACCAGTTTAATTTGAGAGCAGTCATAATGATAATGTGTTGGACTTAGCATTAATTGAGAGACAAATTGCTTCTTTAATGGTGGTGTCTTTAGGGTTTGTTTAAAGGTCTAAAGGCCTATAGAAAACCAGATGGTAGAATTCAGCTCTTTCGGCCAGAACATAATGCTGTGCGGATGCAAGCCGGCGCAAGGAGCTTGAGGATGCCGTCACCATCAGTTGATCAATTTGTCGAAGCTGTAAAGCAAGTTGTCCTGGCCAACAACCATGAACTAATAATTGTTCTAATATTGTAAAACGGAAAATTGATATGATACTATAAAACTGGTAATTGATACTGAACTGATCATAAATGTTAACTGATACATTAATATATATAATCAACACATATCAAGTGATTAAACAGTCAAACATACACCCCTCTTAATAAAGAACTTTTGTTATGAATGTGCTTCCTCGATCCTATAACATTGTAATCTCTGTTATGACCTTTATTTCTTGCAAAATTTGGAAACAATGGTACCCATCAAAACTAAATTCTGAAAATAGTTACAAGAATCGGATGACTAATAGTTGAACAATATAATTTACATAAACATTTCAAATGTTTTCTTTTAAAATACAACTCATTAATTGTACATAAAATTGCANAACCAAAAGAATGTGATTCACTTTAGAATTTGTAGTATCTGTATGTGTATGGATTAGAACCTGAATTTGGATCTTCTAGGATCTGAGCTTTAATTAATTGAAAATTTGAAAGGTTTTGTAATTAAGTCAAATTTATTTTTTTAATTATATATTTATGTATAAGAGAAAAAAAATTAATATAAAGAACCTACTTTTATGAGTTCTCTTATGTATTTTTATGATGTAAAAACCAATCTTGTCGAGTGAAAGATTAGTTAGGTAAGATTTTTTTGTAGATATACCGATCAATGTCTTGTAAACTAAAAGAAATCCAATTCATGTTCTAGCCAGATACTCATTAATGAGTATTCACTATTTAAGAAAGATTTGATTTTGAGATTTGATTTTGAGATTTATTTGTAGATATGAATAATAAAATTATTAGTAACATCTAATTATGAGGTGACCTAATGATAAAAGAGCAAAGAAATATTTAATATATAGTCTCTCAAGTTCGAGTCTCATAAAAGAGCAAAAAGAGAATCTAACATGCTTTCTTAAATTCGAGTCTTCTTAATATTAAAAGAGCAAGCCCCAAATTTGAGTTCCTGCGACTGTTAATAGAGGTGACTACTAGAGCTTTTATCCAACTGGTAATTCTAAAATTCTGAAAAATTAGTTGAGGTGTACGTAAACTGACCCAAACACCTCCGATCATAAAAAAAATTATGACTACTTAATATGAAAAAAATTTATATTACTCTTATTTTATTCACTGACAACTTAATTAATTGGTATATGGTCTATTGCAACTTTGAATGTGACCCACCGTTGTGAGTACATAATACATAATTTTTTATATACTTCATGCTCCACATTTCACGGGTCTAAAACAGAAAATTATAACTTTTCTTTTCAATGTTGATGACTTTTGAGGCCATATTTTTTTTTACGTACTTTATGCGAAAATGACCTTGCTAGTGAAAATGGATATGTGTGGTGAAAAAAAAGGTCAAAAATTTGATTTGATGGCGTACAAGTATAATCATGCTTACTTTGTAAATGCATAATTTTTGAAGGTCCAACCACTGTTATGAACTCTGCACAATATTTCCTATATTGTTGACTATTGATTGATTGTACAAAAATTTTATTATACTTTATGAATTAGCATTGCCCTACTAAGTAAAATTTCAAAAAATCCTCTATTTTTACTTAACCCGGGCCTAAAGCCTAGGCAGGACCGGGCTTGGATTTAGAAAAACTCGGGCCTGACCGGGCCCAAGGTTTTTACATTATTAGCATCTAGCCTTTCATTAATCAATTTTAAACAGAGTACGTCATTAAAATAAAAAAAGAGTTATTTAAGACAAAAAGATTTGATTTTAAAATATCAATATTACTAATCCTATTTTCATAAAATTTAATTAAATAACACCTTAATTAATAAAAATAATTATTCTTTTATTAAAATACTTAATAACATTTTTAGAAGGCCTTATTCTATAATGGGGCACAGGCAAATGCCTCACTTGTCGAGCACCCTTGCCACAACTTATTGTCATTATAAGTGATATTTATTAAAAAAAAAAAAAAATTGTTGTATAACCGGATATATTAATATGATTTGAGACTTTGAGTTGGTGAACTTTAAAACCAATTGGTTTCGTGTTATAATATTTCACGAAGGCTGGCTAATTATAATGAGTACTAACAAGAATAATCAAAATACAGATATATTATTTTATTTAAAATATAATTGATACTCCCTCCGTTCATATTTAAAAGACGTTTTAAGGTTGGGCAGAAATTTTAATAAAAAGAAAATTGTGTCTCTCCCACAAACTTTTGCCCCTTATATTGCAGGTGGGAAAAGACTTTGTAGGTGGGAAACTTTCCCGCTGCATATTTAAATAATTAATCATTTTGTCTTATTCCATTTCCTGCTCTTCGTCCCTTTCTTTTCTTTACTGTGCTCTTCGTCCCTTTCTTTTCTTTTACCCTGTAGTCTGTTCCATTTCTTTTATTTTCTCGTCCTTCACTTATTTTCATTTCCACCTCTTTGATTCTGTTCGGTCAGTCACCATGGCCAAACAATGTAATAGTAGAGGTGTGCTTAGAGAAATTGATTTAAATGTTTTGCTAACATTAGAAACTACGAATGAAGTTGATGACATAACAGAGAAAGTTAATACACATGTGAGTCGAAAAAACCTTACAAATGAACAAAGACAAGCAATTTTTGAATCTCTATTGAAGCGAAGTGTTAATGGACAATTGAAGAAAAACACTACATCTGAGGTGGCTCAATTATTTTCAGTTAGTATGCGTACAGTCCAACGCATTTGGCAACGAGGAAAAGAAAATGAAGTTTTGGATTCTAACACTAATGTATCTAGCAAAAAGGCACTCAATTGTGGGCGCAAGCGTCTTC